GTTGATTGATGGACCAATATTAGCATGCCAAAGACTTAAATTGTTGAGATATTAGGTTTTTTTTTATAAAATATTTTTTAGGAATCTTATGAAGAAAGAGTTAAGAGAAGCGTAGATTGGCAATATGGCATTTTCTTATAAAATAATTGGAACTTAGAAAAATATTGACTTTTTATTTCATGAAAATATACTAATTCTTTTTATAAAAAAATCATCAATGAATTTCAAGAAGTATAATGTTTTACGTAAAGATTTGAATCAAAATGGTCTTGCCACATTACAATTAATGTTACAAACACATATTTTTATTCCAATATTCATCTATATGATTAATTAGAAGTAGATAAAAGTAGATTAATTTCATAATATCTTCTAGAACAGCTCCCTAGAAGCTTCATAGATGCAACTTTGACTCTACATGTATTTGTAATTGATTGATATGTTAGAAACTTGATCAATAAGTTAATCATATATCACATATATTAATAGCTTTTGGAATAAATTAATTATGTGGAGTAAATATAAAAAGCTTATCTTACAAGTTAAGACATGTGTCTTACAAAGTCAACACATGTTGGAAGTCTTGTAGAATATCTTCACGTAGTTCTTAGTTAAATAGTATTTGTAGAAGCAAAAGTAAAGCCTTTTTTATTCTTGTCAATGCCTTTCTAATCTTTAATCTTCTTTCAAGTCTTTCTACTCTTCTTATGTTTGATAATAGCTATTCTAATTCAATATATTACTATCTTTGAATGACTTTCTAATCTTTTCAAATCACAGAAGAGTATATTGAGTTTTTTTTCTTTGAGATTTATTTTTTTAATAATTAATTAGTTAAAATATTTCAAATATCTCAAAGGTTTTTACTTTGGATATATTCTTTTAACTCTCTTATATTAAGAGATAATTGGAATAATTTAGATTTCTAATAGAGATGTTTAAAAATTCTTTTATAGATTTTAAACTCATCATTTTGCATAGTTCTCAAGGATAAGAGTATTTAAGTTAACAATTCTAAAGAATAGAACTAGAATTGTGCTTTGAGTTAGAATTCACTATATAAATTTCAAGATTATACTTAACATCTAAACATCCATTTAATATATCCCTATTTAATTTATAAAAGCCAATACATGTGCTTCTCAATGTAATGGCTATTACTGTTCTTAATATATTTTTAATAATTCATTTGTTCATATCAAATGTTAAGATAGTTTTTTTTTCAACTAAAAATCCTACTAAAATGAGATTTTTTATAATACTCAAAGAATAAAGAACATGAAATATCTTTTTTATTTCTTTGATTTACAAGTGAATTACACTATTGACTTTCTTGATTACACGATGTCTATAGCTTCTTTTTAAATTAATTTTTATTCTTTTATTAAGTATAAATAATAATAAAATTAATAAATAGCATGAATTGATAAATTGCTTCAATTATAAGAGCAACATATATCCTATGTATATGTGACATCAAGAGCTTTGAATTTATTTTTGGATTTATTATTTTTCTTATTCATTTCTTCATTCAAAAGTCTACCTTCTAATTCAAAATATAAAAAAGACTTTCTTTCATTCAAAATAATTAACTTGATCATATCATAATCAATATTTTATAATTCATAATAAAGAACTTTTTTAAGTAAATCTACATCTACTACTTCATTTAATTTGTTGTTTCTTTACCATTTGCTTAGTAAGCAATCATACTATAATTTTTTTCAAATAGTAAAGAACATGTCTATTAGCACATTTATCAAATAATATTTTTGAAATTATATTGGTATTTTAATAAAGTAAAGTATTCATAAGATTTGAATTATTATTTTACTAGCTTCAATGATATGTTTTTTTTATGCTATTATTGATAGCACTCAAGGCAATTTAATTGCCAAACTTTTTTACATCATTCATATAAGCATTTGATGCATTAATTTAGAAATTATAAAGACCATATTTCATGAAAATATTCTTCATACAAAATACCCATGATTAATAGTTTTCTATTATTATCAATTGATAGGCCTAAAAGACTAAGGTTTGATTGGTAACATTCAAACTTAATATGCTTCTTGATATACTCATTATTTGTGTTTGTAATTATGTAGAAATTCTTGGAAATTTGGCTCCTTATGGAATGATATTCTTTGTCTATGTGTATTCAAACTCTTTGTTTGACATAACTAAAATATACTTAACATTCTATCTACCAAACCTTCTATCAATATATATTCTTATATCATATAAAACTATTCAAGTGAAAGAAAAATGGAACTAATTAATATTATAGATAGCATAATTCAAGAATATATAGAAGTCATTTGTTGAAAAATAAAACTAATAAGCTCTATGGAAAAATGACAATAGATATTATCTTCCAATATTTGTATTATCAATCTACTTGCATACACTAGATTAATGACCCTCTAACAAATTACATTACAAGTCTAATTTTATGGAATCTCTTTAATACTTTATGATGTGTTTCCTAGACAATAGATTATATTTGTCACAAATTTTGCTACAACTAGAATTACAAGATGTGTGATTATTTGTTTCTGTGACAATTGATGGATAACTTTAGTAATCAATGTGGTAGGATTGAAAAAGACTTTTTTAATCTCAAAAAGCTTTTTCTATATGTATTAGGCTAATTTGATTTAGTATTTCCTAGACAATTTATGTTTTATATTGTTTGTATTTGTTGAAAGTAATATTTATTTTATATTTTTGAGCTGGAGGGGGAGTGAAGTATGATATGTGTTTTTAAGTTAAGAGCTAGAGTTTTGTATTTAAACATTCAAAAGTAAATGTGGAGGAAGGATATATTGTGAACAGAAGAGTATTGTGGAAAAAATGATTGGTTTTGCATGGAGAGTGAGGAAGGAGAGAGTATGTGTTGTTCAACTCAAGTTTAGGGCAGCTTGTGGTTGCATTAATAAAAATTATGGTAGTATGTGGTGTATATCAAGTTGTGGTGGTATTAACAAAACTTGAAGTATTAATAGCAACATTGTAGTTTTAATGTATTTTCAATGTATTTTTTAGGTGTTTTTAATGTATTGATGATATCTATATAAATAAATAGTAAAATACTAAACAAAAATGATATTTAAATTAGAAACATAATTTTATTTTATAAAATTATTATTGCATTTTTAACATAGTATTAATTTACATAATAAATCTGACAATTATCTTACCGACAAATAATCTAATTTTTTTTGAACTCTTAATTTTTACAAAGTATATATTTTATTTCTTTATTATTATTATTATTATTATCATTATTATCATAATTAAAAATATATAATTAATATTTTCAAAAAAAACTTTAAGATGTAGAAAATGTAAACAAACATGTAAAAGTACTCTAGTAGGGAGGATCGAAATAAATTTTATTCAAAGATCCTCATATCTTCACATAGAAAATAGTGTTTACGAACAAAAACTGTTTGCTTATGATAGTATAAGTGCATGGTACAAACCATAGATAAACAAAAAGGTAAAAGAAATACCAATACAGTGGACTATATAGTAATCGGAAAATGACATATTTTGCAGTGAATCTGTTCAATGTTTAGGTCATTCGAGGATAAGGCATAGTCCAGATGTATCATGGTTTGAAGATTTTTTAAATAGTTTAAAGAGTAAGTGTAATGCTTCTGCAGAAATGGCACACTGCGATATCACCAAAATGTAAGTTGCGAAAACTTAAGAATTGTATGCATACAAAAGTGACATTATGGAGGTGACTAAAGACCATATACCTCCAGTTTGATAGGATGTGTTTCTACTACTTGTATGTTGATTTACTGAAAAATCAATAAATAGCGAAGCCCCGTAAAATGAAAGTGAATTTGGAGTGACAGCAAAAGAAAGAAATAAATAAGTATTCAGACTTGGAAAAATCAAACAACAAAAGAGTTCTAGTTGCATGAGTTCAACGAGAAGGGGCTCATTGATCAACTAGGACTGAAGGAATTCTAATCCTATGGGTCCAGAGGCATCTACTAGTTGCGAGAGCATGTACAGTAGGCAATATGGGTCACTCCTTCGTTGTGTCAGTTCCATTCGTAAAGCATGGGTGCCGCGGATTCCAGACCATGTGTAATTCTCCTTCACACCCAAGTTTACACCGTCTCAGAATATACAGAGCATCTGCATAATCTGGGCGAGAGTGTACGTTGGATGTGATTGACGCAATCGGAGCTACTGAGTGCCTCGTTCAAGTTTCGACCACTTCAGAGCAGCTAAGCCGGGTCGATTCCCGGTTTCTTCATGGTGATTAGAGCAGGGTTAAGCTATTTACACTTTCCTGTGCCTGATCGCGATAGGTCAGACGTCATGTGAAGTAGAAGATGCGTTTTAAATGTAAGTCACATTGGTGACTTTACGATACGGAGGGTGTATTGAGCGTAGCAGCTATGACTTGGCATCAATCTGCTGCAAGTTTCATGTGGCAATCACGTGGGTTCAGCGTGTGGAGGTGAAGACACTGTTAGCTTATTTCGGTAGTTGGTAGCAGTATATCATTGACAACGTAAGGGGCCAATTATTGTTTGTTCAAGCAGATTGAATGGATTCTGCTCTTCAACCTGTGCTGCACTTTGATTAATTTCTGGCCGATTTTGTACAAGATTATGTCGTACGCCATTTACTATCACGCGTAAGTACTATGCAAGTATAGCGATGGGTACGCTGAGATGTTCAGACCTGCATTTAATAAGTAGCTGAGGTGACATTTCACATCACTCGTCTGCAGACTCCACATTCTTCTCCAAAGAGAAAGCTGCGAGGCTACCTGCGCCTTAACTTCGGTACAACATCTAGGTTTGTGTCCACACTTGAATCCAGGATGCGGGCCGAAAGCGCTGGGAAAACGTAGGGAACGCGAAAAAAGTGATATTACGAGGGAAGTGATTGGCAATCATATACGGGAGACATACGGCAGCGCCCTTCTTGAGTTAGCAAGCTATGCCATTGCACCAATGAGATTCGGTTAATCCACCCGACACTTAAAATAATTAAAACAGCCGTAGACGATATCGAGTCCCTTACCTGCGGTGTTAGGGCTGGAACGACATTTTGTCCTGCAATTCAGGTCTATCCACTAATAATTCCCGAGCCATGTCCAGACAGACCGAATCAAGAACACCAAAGACACTTCCTAGTCAATACTTACAGAAACGATCATCAGTGCTTAATCACCACGATTTAAGATATACTCCAAGAGAGTAGAGAGATGATAAGACAATACGAACGGGCGGTGTTATGAAACACCATTATAGTTGTGCATCCAATCACGCAAGGCACGAATCGCTCACTCTTTAGAGGCCTTTTCACCCTTCACTTTCTTCTCCTTCTCGGGTTTGGCAGGCTTCTCTGTACCCGTTCCTCCGGCCGTCTTCTTGGGAAGAAGGACACTGTGAATGTTAGGAAGCACGCCTCCATAGGCAATAGTCACTCCTGAGAGAAGCTTTCCTAGCTCCTCATCATTTCTAATGGCGAGCTGAATATGACGGGGTATAATTCGACTTTTCTTATTATCCCTGCTAGCATTCCCGGCCAACTCCAGGACCTGCACAAGATCAACTTCCCAGTCAGACACGAAAACCACTCAAAAGAACGCACGAGAAGAAAACAAAGAAACTCCACCCTCAATCGTAACCTCGGGTCTCGGATGCTCACCTCTGCGGCTAGGTACTCCAAAACAGCAGCCAAGTACACAGGAGCTCCGGAGCCTACGCGCTGCGCATAACGGCCCTTCTTCAAGTATCGCCCGAGCCTACCGACAGGAAACTGCAGACCAGCCTTGGCAGACTTAGTAACAGATTTCTTCCTTGCGGCGGCACCGGCTCCCTTGCCTCTTCCTGACATGTCGACGAAACCCTAAGGGAAAAACAACGTTCACCAACAGAAGTAATGGAGCAGGAGAAAGGAAGAAGAGTATGAGTGGTAGAGACAGAAAGGAGAGATGAATGGAAGGAGGAGTGATATCTGCGATGCACCCTTCCCTGCTTTATAATTCCCCTGCCTTGCTCCCCTTGGGAACTCCCGGGAACCTTTGGGAACAGGCCCGGAATTCAAATGAGAGAAGGCTTCCCCGTTCTCCCCCCATTTTCAATTTTCGCGTCCCTGGCTGCTGTTTCCCGCCTCTTTTTGCCCGCGCTTCTGCCTCGTCGATGAAGTGTGGATGAATAGTGTGTCGTCGTCGACGTAGAGGGGTCCTTGGATTCCATGTTGGACTAGTGGGTGGAGTTTTGGGGCCATGCGTGACAACACTCTCTCTTCACAATGTGCTGATTTAGCATTTATGTGCATTACAAGTCCTTGGATTCTTTAATTGATGTCCACAACATTTCACTGCAGCAATTACAATGGTGTTCTTGATATTATGCATTCAATTGGTATGAGATATTTACATGAGTGATATGTGTGATAATAATGCTATTTCGAAATAAAATTTTGTTCTTTGCAACTTTGCAAGTTAATACAAATGGGGTTGGTATTTTTTAGTTGTTGCACTTCATAATTACAACGCACAATAACAATTATCACTACATGTGCTGTTAACAGTGTTTTCCTTTTTTTAGTAAGCACGTGTTATAATGGTAATAATAGTAATAATAAATAGAGTATTTATTTATAAATCACTTATGAAAACTAATACTTTTTAATGCTTACTTGGTGTTATTATTAGTGTATATATATATATATATATAGTAGTCATATCTAAAATGCAACAACTTATGATATTTTTACAACCAAATTTTTTATGGATGTTAAGAAGCATAGTTTCATTTAATGCATAGTAATTATTTATAAATAAAATAAAATAAAATACGAAAGCATCTTATTTGAATACAATTATGTACTTTGTTTTTAAATGAGTTGTAAATTTTGAATATAAATTACAAATTACAATATCTTTTCAATAAATAAATATTTCAAAATAACAAAAACATCTATAAGGAAAATGTATTATATATACCAAGTGCAATTATGTCTCAAACACAATGTCCAAACCTACTTCATTTATATTAAAGTTTAATCTTTGTAGGTACACTAATTGTTTTTTTTAATAATAAAACCAACCATTTTGTTTGTTTATATCCTTTTTTTTCTTCTATCATGTAAAACCACATTCAAATGTCATCTAGTGTTCAATTTTTGTCAATGTTGTTTTTTAAAAAGCACTTGTATAATATATCATGTTTGATAATATGATATTTTGTATTAAATATATTTTATATTTTTCTTTTCTTTTCAAACATATAATACTACCAATCCAAATTATATTATTCCAAACAAAAAAAAATAATATCTTAACATCCAAAATTTGTAAGTTGGTTACTTAGCAACTTTTATTTATTTTTGAAGTAGTGAAAAGTCTATGGATGTATATGTTAACCTAATGTACATATATTGACACACAATTATAAGATTATAGAATTTTTAAATATATTGATGTCATTTTATAATTAAAGTTGAATCCTAAGGCACCACAAAGTAAAAATTGATCAATCATAAAATAGAAATTAGTCTATTATACCCACCCTTTTAGAAAAGGTGTCACACAATTAAATGCTCATTTGTTAACAACACTCTGATCAAAGCATCTAATATATTTGAATTGTTTAATTGATATATACATAGAACAATAGTTGAGTGTATATTTATGTAACTTTACAATTGCTTGTTTACATTTATATATATATAATTTATACCATTAAAAATGAACTTAACTATATGATGTAGTTTTTAGTTTTATTAAAATTAAATTAAATTAAATTACTGAATTTGGTTATTTTATATTAAAAATATTAAAATATATTAAGTTCATTTTGAAGTAATTGATCAATAAATATTATATATATATATATATATATATATATGAGGGACAAGGTGAGAGGTCTTAACTTTTAAATGTTTTGATTGGTTAAAATTGAGTAGCCTCTTTAAGGTAGCTTTCTACTTACTAAAAAGAAGTTCAAATGCCCTAATAAGAAGAAAAAAATAAGATGTAATGCATTTTTTTTCTTGCATGACAAGTATAGTATTGTGCTTTGAAATTTACCTTTGGCCCTTGTAACAACGATGGTTTGTAGAAAAAAATCAAAAAGTAGGTTCAGAAAGTGCTTAAAACAACCATTCAAAAAATAGAGTTTTTTTTAGTTACATTTTTATTTATAATTCTTTGAATCAATATATTGACAAATATATTTTATATTTTTAGTAAAAAAAATGATTTGGTTCTTCTCATGATCTCTTCTCACTTTATATAATATCCAAAAAACAAAGATTCAAAAGGAGGGATTTTCTTCACCAAACCATGACATTTCGAAGCAAGACAATACATTCAACATATTATGCGCCCTTAAATGATGAAATTATAATCCAATAAATTAGACAAGACATCACATGAAAAACAAATTATTGCCTATACGTGTTTGAAGCGTTCTGAAGGCAGCATTACAGGTAGACATACAAAAGTAATGACTACAATAAAGTTAAGTATTATAAAGATATATATTATGTAAGAATAGATTCAATATGGTGGATTAGGGTGGATTAGTCTAATGTGAGGATAATCAAGTGAGAGCAAAACCCTAATCACGATAAGGGGGAGGATTAGGGTGGATTAGTCTAATGTGAGGGTAATGAAGTGAGAGCAAAACCCTAATCGCGACAAGTGGGAGGATTATGGTGGATTAGTCTAATGTGAGGATAATCAGGTGAGGGCAAAACCCTAATTGCGACAAGTGGAAGGATTAGGGTGGATTAGTCTAATGTGAGGGTAATCAAGTGAGAGCAAAATCCTAATCACGACAAGTGGGAGGATTAGGGTGGATTAGTCTAATGTGAGGGAAATCAAGTGAGAGCAAAACTCTAATCGTGGCAAGTGGGAGGATTAGGATGGATTAGTCTAATGTGAGGGTAATCAAGTGAGAGCAAAATCCTAATTACGTCAAGTGAGAGGATTAGGGTGGATTAGTCTAATGTGAGGATAATCAAGTGAAAGCAAAATTCTAATCACGATAAGTGGAAGGATTAGGGTGGATTAGTCTAATGGAAGGGTAATCAAGTGAGAGCAAAATCCTAATCGTGACAAGTGGGTGGATTAAGGTGGATTAGTCTAATGTGAGGGTAATCAAGTAAGAGCAAAACCCTAATAGCGACAAGTGGGAGGATTAGGGTAGATTAATCTAATGTGAGGATAATCAAGTGAGAGCAAAACCCTAATCACGACAAGTGGGAGGATTAGGGTGGATTAGTCTAATGTGAGGATAATCAAGTGAGAGCAAAACCCTAATCACGACAAGTGGAAGGATTAGGGTGGATTAGTCTAATGTGAGGATAATCAAGTGAGAGCAAAACCCTAATCGCGACAAGTGGGAAGATTAGGGTGGATTAGTCTAATGTCAGGGTAATCAAGTGAGAGCAAAACCCTAATCGCGACAAGTGGGAGGATTGGGGTGGACGAGGCGGGTGATGGCGTAGTCGCTGAGGAGCTGGAGAGCTATGGAGGAGGAGGGAGAAGGGAGGAGGAGCTCTACAATGCAATGCTCCCTATCCTGCTCTACGCAATCTACGCCCACAGCGGTGCGGCGAACTCGTTTCATAACTAACAACACTCGGGACAGACCGCTTTGCTCTCTCTCTACACGGAGAAGGAACCATGGCGAAGCTTGCATTGCTGCCGAAACATTTCACGAAGAACTTTACCCTCCTTCACAGCACTCCGCCTAGAGTATACTTACTGCGCAGCATGTTGATAGCCGAGGGCAGACTGACTACGTATGTGCTGTTGTCGCACGCGAAGTAGTCGCTCCCCGTGCTGGGAAAAAAAGATCACTACACTTCAAATTTTGGTGAACAACCTAAACTACATTACGGCCAGAATAGAAGTGTAGCATATCTGACGACCTACATGTATAATGTCGTGTGGTTTTTGAGCTGCCCGAGACATTGGAAGGAATAGAAGCAATTCTACGTACCAAACAATATTTTGCGTCGGATCTCACCAACACGACGGATTTGAATGAGGAATTGACCATTTTGATAACGTACCTGAAAAATTCTGAGAACTCAAACATGCACAACACAGAGGTCACTGCGTGCCAACTTCGAAAGATGCGGGTGTGCGTTCGAATAAAATTGTGGTGTCTATAATTACTGAAATCGTGAGCCACGAATTCCGTGGAGATACGGTGACGTGGTGGTCGGGGGATCCATACGTTATCTGGATATGTCGATGTCACCGGGGTGTTTTGTGCTCCCCCCCTACATCGTCTACTTTGCATGTTCTCTTCCATCTACCAGTTGTGTGGAGCTCAGTTGCTACAGTTTACATTGGCGTTCTGGGACTGCAGGCGGTCTTCTTCAACGCAGTACGTTGCTCTCGGGAAGTTTAATTTTGTAGAGAGATGGGGTCGTTTATGGGATTGAAGATGCCAACAAGCTTTAGCGCTGCACCTCTGATTGGCGCAGGAGGAGCTCGTATGGCGCCAGTAGTGGCTGCTGGGTTTACAGTGGCGCCGGAGTTTGGGTACGTGGTTTTGACTGCTTCTGCGAGCGTCATCCTCACTCAATGGCAGATGTTTCAGGTATGAGATTTGTGGCTGGTAAGTTCTTGAATTGCTTCTCAATTTGCATAAGTTGGGTCTAGGCACAATTGATGAGGTAGAAGAAGTCTGCATTGTGGTTCGTGAGGAGGGATCCGGTGATTCGTCGTTTTGACTACGACTTGATGCGCATCATGTGTCTTCAATCCGTCTGGTGTATGCCAATATTGAAGGCTTTGACCTAACCCTAAGAGTATGCAAGCTTAGGATGCCCATGATCAAGAAAATACGGAAGAGTCATATAGGTTTTTTGCTTTGAAATCTTCCCTCAAGTACCGTTATAGTTCTATATCTGCACAGTAAGATTTCGAAGCTTTTTGCTTATCAAATTGAACCTCAAGAGTTGGACGTGTACTTAGAATTTAGTTGAGGAATTACTCATAGTTGGGAATGTTAAAATTTTCAGTCTTCTGCAACGTGGAGCTCGTTGTTTTTATGAATGTCTAGCTTGAATATCTTCCGCAAATGCAGGTGGCTTTCCAAAGGAGGAGGAGTGGTTTGAAGTATCCTAAGGTTTTTTTCTCAAACCGTTTCTCGGAACATCTTTGGGTTGATTCGTCCTAGCTGCTTGTTGGTAATAAATTATGTTGTTATTAGTTCAGTACAGTGAACGTTGCCAAAAGTAATGTTTTGCTGACCTTTGTGCTCACGGATTTATTCATCTCAGATGTACGAGGACGCAGAAGATTCTCTGTTCAACTGTTACCAGCGAGCACATCAGAACACTCTGGAGAGTTACCCTGCCTTCTTGACATTACTTGTCATCTCCGGACTTGCTTACCCAATTACCGCTTCTGTGTAAGCTATACCCCCCCTTATTCTGTCAAGTTGCAACCATCCAATACTTTCGCTCGTGCAACACCTCTGGTTTTCGAACCGATGCGCTTACTCAAGATTTGCACGGTGCAGATTTGGCATGCTTTGGGTGGTCGGACGCGTGGTCTACTCCCTCGGGTTATCTTCGCAACCCATGACTTTTGAGACACGTTTTTCTTGACAGGGTTCGAAGATGCTTCTTGTGCTGCCTGAATTGAGCTTGAACATGGGTCCCTCATACTTTGTGGCTGTTGGCAGGTATTACACTGGAGACCCTTCCAAGAGATTCAGGGGCGCCTTCCATAACTTCGGATTGTGGGGCTTGCTGGTTACATCCATAGTGTTTGGAGTCCGCACGGTGATGCCTCTCTTGTCTGCTTAAGGGATTCCGAATCCCCGTTCTACCTAGTCTTCCTTTGGCAGAGCTTTGGAGCATTGGGGTTATTCTTCTCAACGTCGATGAAACTTCGACGAGGAGTCTCTGCAAACTGGTCGTTCTGCTACGACAAAAATGGGTGCGATCAGGAGAGGCGATGCAGTGAGGTCGGACTCTAACTCCATCTTTTAGAAGTCTTCGTCGAGTTCGTGAAGAATTTCTGATTGACGCAAGTAACTAGAAACAAGTTGTTGAAGGTTAGGCAGGAATGTGGTGCATTGTAGATAGTAGATGTTGGTAGTGGGCCGGTAGGAATCAACATGTGTTGAAGTTGTGTCCTAGAAAAAAAGTAATAAAACCAGTGCTCGAATTATAATTACATGGAAACAAAGTTACTGTGTGATGAAAATATGTGATTATGGAAATATGCGATAGAGAGATGTAAGAAAATCAAGCAATAATTTTCTTAATCAAATGTCTTATGTGCAATTTCTATGCGGGAGAAGAGTAATATGAATGCTGGATATAGTATTCATGGAAAGAACATTTGTTTTCATTGATTGTGTATTGAGGTGGTGTTTTTCTAAAAGCAATCATTTGAAGTCACTATTACCATTTTGTAATAATACTGCAACTGTATCGTTACTTCATATTAGAATAAGAAATCAAAATATATTGATCATTGAATTAATTTTAATCCACATGCCAGTAAATCAGTTTTTAATATTCCACAAAGTTAAACATTGCATATCTGGGGGGCAATGAACTCCTAGTCAAACTGTTTCAAACAAGAATGTGACACTAAATGTAATTCTTTTCATTCTGAATATCGAAATGCCAGTTGCTAAAGCAACACCCCCATATTGTTGATGTGACACCCCCTTGGGTATTATCTATTAAATATCACTAGAATAAAATAATTATTTTTAAGTTTAAAGATAAAAAAGTAATATATAGAATTATTACAAAACTGCTCTGTATCATTTTTTTTTAGCAACGGGAATTAGAAATACTTCATGACTGCTTCTAAACTTTGTTACTATAATGTTTAATTGATGAATTAGTTTGTTTGTAAAAAAAATGTATACTGCAGTGTTTCATTTTCATAAAAAATATCATTATGTTATTATCATTACTATAATTATTAATGATATTACAAAAAATCAATGTGTTGTATTAAGATGTCTTATATAATACAAAAGTACTAAAAACTTTACCTGACAATATATCTAAAGTTCTCTCACACAATAATTTGAGACCTCAAATAAGAACTTTATCATATGTAACCAAAACTTAATAATAATAATTATAAATGTATGAGATCCATCTATAACAATGGGTTTTAGATTGGAGACTGTTTTAGATTTTAATATTGTTTCAGATTAACATTATGATTTGATTTAAAAGACATGTATTTCTTTCTATCTTCTTGCTCGTTAAATTGCTTTTTTACTTGAAAGAATAAAATACCAGCATTGTTCTTAGTTATAATTTTACAAATATTTCTAGTTCAATATTAGAAATCTTACTAAAAAAAAAGAGATGTGGCTTTAATATGGTGATTGTGATATTGAGTATTCTTCTGTCAATCAAATCATGTTGTAGCAATTTATTTGATATGGTTGAAATGCACTTTAAATCAAATGAGGATTTGAAACTCAAGAGATGCCCCAAAATTTACAGAGTTTTTATAAAAGTTGTGGTTTTTGGAATAATAAATGCCATTCATTGATAATGATTTCTAAAATTTGGTTGTTATTGTTTTTGAAGAGTATGCATTTGATTCAAGAAAATAAAGAAGAAAAAAAACATTATGTCTTTGATTCTTAAATAACACATTAACTCTTTGTTAAGTCCTTGCATAAAATGTATTTTTTTTGTTTTGTTTTGTTTTTTTTTACATATTATGAGACTGTCAAATAAACCACGACAATTTCATTCAGTTTTAGCTCTAGTCTTTAGATTGTATATTTCTAATATTACCTAATATATTACAAATTTTATTTATTTTTTAAAAAATAAAATTTAAAATCATAATTATTGTAATGCTGTTTTTTTTTCCTGTAGAAAAGATAATATAAAAATTCAAATTAAATTTTTATAATTAAAAAATATATAACTGGTTTAAAAATACTTCACATATTTAATGTTTATTGACATTTATTTTGGAATCACATAACAATTATAAATAAATAAATAATTAACTAATCAAAGTTGTTTTACAATGTTGAATAGGTGAACCTAAGAGAATACAATAGAACAAAAATAAATTTCCAATCCACGTCACATGAGGCAAGTCTTCCATTCCAAGACACCAACCTCAAGCAAGTGGGAAAAATGAAAAGTGAAATCTAATTCTGTCGATAGGGATGAATGTTCAACGATATTCATCTATCAGCCCGTTAACGAGGACGCTCGACCAATGGAGGGAAGTCATCATCCCACCGACTTGGCTTCATCCGAAGCCCCCATCGGACGAAACCTGCATCTTTCCAAGAAGGGGAACGTCCAAAACTGAAATCTTTCCAAGAAGGGGAACGTCCAAAACTGAAATCTTTCCAACACCCAAAAGGAAATAAGGATGGGCTTGGAGATGAAGGAGCATCCGCAGTCATGTTTATATTCAAAGAATGAAGAATAAGAAGATACTCCGCATCCCCAACAAAGCGGCGAAATAGGAGGAGGAGGAGGATCAGGGCGAAATGCTGCTGCCAGTGACTGCCTCTCATCGATGGAAACAGAACAGAAAGCAAGCAAGAAAAGAAGGAAGGAAAGGAAAGGAAGGTGAGCCAAAGAGAGAAAGGGAGTGAGAGGGAGGAGGAGCAATGTGGCCAGGTTGGCCACATTGATTGCATCCGGTGAAGGAAGCGCGACGCTTTTCCGGCATCACAATCTTCGTGCTGCGCGACGAGGGAATTGCTGTCCCACCTCTATCGGAAGAGAGGGGTGGAAAGAGTTGTCATCTCGCGTGGGGTGCGATGTCCTGCACTGCCTGCACTGCCTTGTATCGGAGATCTCGTTGGAAAAGTATGCGCCATCTGCGTTCCGGGACGGCGCTTACTCACAGCAAGTCGGTGGTTGCCCCCGTCTTTTTCATTCTTGGGTGCCGATCGGATACGACAAACAAGGTTGGCGGGGGGGGGAGATTTGTCGCTGCCAGTTGTCTGGTTGCGAGTGGCAACACTGCAGGTGAGGAGCTTGCATTGGATTTTGTTGTTAATGACGAGGAGCTAAGTTTAGAAGCGTGACTAGTGTTGTGATGTTTGGATTATGAGTCTGGCGCTCGGAGTTTGCTCTAGATGAGGAGTTTGCGCGGTGGTTGTGTTCAGATGAGCGGTGCAGGGGAGAGAGCCAAGTGCCTTTGAGGGGCTGGGAGCTGCGGCTTTAGTTGTTGAAGACTTTCGGATCGTGTGTTGACGGAACAACCGAGAGCAATCATGTTTCGAGGTATGTTTCAACTGTGGTGGTTATGTTGATACTTTTGTTGTAGTTGGAAGCATTTGTCTTTCCGTGGTACAACAATGCGAGTGAGGGCTGGAGTCTGATTTTTCTGTCGCACGAAAACCCAATTATTGCATGCCAGAATGTGATCTTCACTTGAGGATTTGGAAATCCATCCTCTCAGTACGAGAATGGATCTGTCCACCTTTTCCCCATCATAGAAGGTTTCAATTGAATCCCTTGTCCTCTAGTACCGGTCAATGAGACGCAAGGGTATCATATTAATAATTTGATTTCAAGGTTTTGGGATCAAGAGAATCGGACTTTGTTTTCAAATTGAGCTTGGGATTGAGGTTTACGCTTCTCCGTGTTTTCGGTGATAGGAAGTGTCAATAATTTAGACATGGTTGCTAGACATTTTATCATTAAAGTTCATCGGTACACAGCTGCCGTCAGAGCTAAAGTCAGAGGATTTTTTAGTGTGAGTATATATTGTTTCTCTTCCTGGAACCCTTTTCCCTTCCCCTGCTTATTACTCCGCGAACCTGTACTTGTTTCTCCACTTGCCTGGTTACAGTATCTCCGTGATTCACTTCTAATTAGAGCTTGACAGTTTATGGATCGGTTGGTGGTTTGGCACATCTGGAAATTTGTAATATAAAGCTGCACTTGAAGATAATCCATAAATCTACGCATGCAAGTAGGTCTTAATCTGCCGCATACATGTTGAATATTTGAATGCAGGGATTCGTAAATTTGTGCATGAGCTGAAAGAGGATATCTTGCACGATCATGACCATCCTCATGCTTGTGAGCAGCCTCACATCGCTCAACAGCCTCATATTCCTCACCACCCGCATACCAGCTATTCCCCTCATGCAAGTGGATTCATCGGCGCCAGTATCTCCCTCGTTGAGCAGGACAAATACGTACACATGCTATCCCTGTAGCTTATTTCTGTTTCCTTCGATATTCACATGTTGTGTTCTACGCTACAGATTTAGGGCTTCGTGTTTACAATGCCGTGATTTCTAGGGGAATGACGTTTCAATTCGAATGGAAATGAATGGTTCAGGTTATCTTGGACAATGGGATAGTCGAAATGACACTCACCAAGCCTGGTGGGATCGTGACCTGCGTCAAATATGGTGGAATCGAAAACCTCCTTGAAACCCATAACAAGGAAACCAACAGAGGGTAATTTTTCCTGTTCTTGTCTCTGCGCCTCCACTTACCCACTATTGGATACCAGCGAGGTTCACTCTTGCCACGTTTTTAACACGAGGATATGCATTGCAGATACTGGGATTTGAACTGGAGCCCAGTCGGTGGAAGGGATACCTTTGACGTGTGAGTCTGGCGACCCAAGCAAGCTGAGATGTTTTCCTTCATGTTCCTGGTGGAAATTCCATTCGCACTTGCATTTCACCTCACACGTTTTTATTTTTATTTTTATTTTATTTTTTTGTCTTTCGGTGCTTGCAGCATCAGTGGAACCAGCTTCAGTGTCGTGTACAAGGACGACAACAGAGTAGAGGTTTCATTTTACCGACCGTATGACCCAAATTGTGGAGGCATACCTGTTAACATCGACAAGCGGTGACTACCGAAAACCCTCAAATACTGGCTGTTTTGCTGATCAGGAGTCTTCCTCCCTTTATGTAGTCCATGCCGCCCATAGGTCAATAGTCCCAGCCTTTGTTTTTCCCTGAAATGAAAACATATTCTTCTACATTAACTGGCATTGAGTGCAAGGTTTAATTTGTGTTGGCGTGAGTGCCTCACAGATTTGTACTCCTGCGAGGGGTTTCAGGTTTTTACACTTACGGAATATACGACCGACCATGCGGCTGGCCTGCATTCAATTTCAATCAAAATCGAGTCACGTTCAAGCTCCAAAAAGACAAGTAAAAACTCCACATTCATACTGTAGTAGTGAATGTCTCACTATAATGTAGGACGATTCCTTTACTGCTCATGCTGCCATTTTATCTCTCTCTCTCTCTCCATTATCACTTGTGCACTGAACACCCCAAAGGTTCCATTTCATGGCCGTGGCAGATGACCGGCAGAGGGTGATGCCTTGCCCTGAGGACTTGACTCCGACCAGGTGTGAGCAGCTCGCTTACCCTGAGGCACATGTGCTTACGGATCCTGTTGATCCCGATCTTTGTGGTGAGGTATGTCATCTCTTTCACACGGTTGTCTTAAGTTTTAATAATTGATGTGCTACGCGTTGGCTTATTCCTACTTGTTTTGTTTTATTGACAGCAGAGTGATGAAGGTGGGAAGCTTTGGCTGTGCCACTGCAGGTGGACGATAAGTATCAGTACACGATGGACAACAAAGACATGAAAGTGCATGGCTGGGCGAGCGACGACCCTAGGGTTGGGTGGTGGATCATCTCCCCTAGCAACGAGTTTCGGAACGGTGGTCCTACGAAGCAGAACCTAACATCACATGTTGGCCCAACATGTCTGGCTGTGAGTTTTCTGACACTCTCTCGAAATACCTCTCGTGGTCATATCAAATACCTTTAAAACGATATTTGATGGTTTCTGGTGTGACGGTGTTCAGGTAGATCTTGTTGATTCTGAAGGTGAGATATGCGTGTATAACAAGGATACCACTGATCTGCGCAGGTCTTCCAAGGTGCACATTATGCTGGGAGTGATCTGAACCCCGGTTTTGAGGAGGGGGAACCGTGGGAAAAAGTTTTTGGCCCCGTCTTCATCTACCTCAACTCGGCACCGCCGGGTACTCCGCACAGTGCCTTGTGGGAAAACGCCAAGGCTCAAGTAAGTGTACATCTTCAACCGTGATTTAATTGCACATTCTTCATTAAGCTCTAGTAATCTCAGTAAGTTATTTCAGAGGTAGCTTAGATGTGTGGCTTGTGGTCTATACTCAAACGTCAAATTGTGTAGAGAACTGTATTCTGAACAAATGGTTAAAAAGAAATTCCTGCGACTTAGTCATGCTTGTTGTGGGTATCTTGTGGTGTAGGCAGCAGAAGAAGAGTCAGCATGGCCCTACTCCTGGGCTGGTTCACCCGCCTTCTTGAAGGCAGAAGAGCGCGGTACTCTGAGTGGCCGGCTTCTTGTTTCGGATCCGTAAGAACATACAATCTTACACAATCAGCTCCTTTGATTGAATTGGGGATGTACATCATAATACTCTCGCAATTTCTAGCTCACAGACAAGGATGGTTTGAGTATAAACCAACTACATTCATGTGTCCAACAGGTTCCAACCACCCTACACATGGGGAGCTAAGGACGCTTATTTGGGATTGGCGGCTCCAGGCGAGGCGGGGTCATGGCAAACTGAGAGCAAGGTACAACACTAGTCATGTTGATCTGCTTCTTTGCAAGCACAGTTTTGTAGACTGGGGTTAATTTTTGGCACTTGTATAAGATACTTGGAAGTGGAAATGGACCATCAATCACCTCAGAAATACTTGACTCTCTGTTGATTCATCTTTCATGACAACGCTTGGTGTCACAGGGCTACCAGTTCTGGACCCAAGCCGATGCTGATGGGTGCTTTTGCATACGCAATATTCGCCCTGGAGTGTACGACCTTTACGGATGGGTTCCTGGTGTTCCGGGAGACTTCAAATACGCACAGGGTTCCATTCATATCCAACCAGGTTAGTCTTAATGACACTGGTTTAGAATTCTTAATTTGTGATTTTCTGATCGCTTAGTGGGAGATGCAATGCTATCTGCTGGCTCCCGGATTGTTGGCTTTGTTGTTATCCGATGGTCTCTAAGTTCGCTGAATTGGGACTGCATGTATCAGGCGCGGTGGTTGATGTCAGTGACATAACTTACTCTAGTCCTCGAGACGGGCCTACCGTGTGGGAGATCGGCTTCCCTGACCGCACAGCGAAGGGCTTTTTTGTCCCGGATGCGAACCCTAAATATGCCAACAAGCTCTTCCTTAACCACCCAGAGAAGTAATAATTCATTTCTCCACAGTGGTTTTTACATATCAAATAATTGTAATACGAATAATAAGTCACCCTTCACCGGAACGATAGTAATAAGAAATTCCCCTCCGCATTCAACTCTCATATGCAGGAATCTGACATGAAATGGGTGCAGGTGGCGTCAATACGGCTTGTGGGAGCGATATACAGATCTTTACCCTACAGAAGACTTGGTTTACACTGTGGGCCAAAGTGACTGGCGAAAGGATTGGTTCTTTGCACATCTTACGAGGTACGCCAATCCATCCAAGTATTTGAGTTACACGTGTAGTTACTCTTTCTGTGAAACATTATGGCTTTTCCGGACCTGGAGTATTACACCCAACTCGGTGCGATTGAAACAGAGGTACCTATGTGAGTCCTCATCACAAATACTTAGCGAAGGAGAAGCCTATCGGATGTGTGTGATTTCTTATGTGAGGCTGATTGCAGAATGAATCCTGACGGCACATACTCACCCACAACTTGGGAGATTCGTTTTGAGCTTCCCGATGTAGTCACCGGCATCCCTTACAAACTCCGAATCGCATCTGCAGCTGCCAACGTAGGTGCCATTCAGGTGTTCGTGAACAACATGGACCGGACGAAGAAACCTTTGTTCGACACAATGCAATACGGGAAAGACAATGCTGTTGCACGCCACGGCATCCATGGACTCTACAAGCTGTGGAACATCGACGTGGATTCAAACCTTCTGCAAGCTGGCCCCAACGTCATATACTTGACGCAAAGGAAAGCCACAGGGCCTTTCAATGCGATCATGTATGATTATCTGCGCCTGGAAGCTCCTGTTCGTGGCTGCCATTCAGATGTGGATTCAGATTGATTACCCACAACACACTCTTCACTGCCACAGCTTTCCCAGAAGGTCTGTGCCTGAGTTTTCATCATCTTTATATTCCATCGTTGGGTGCTGCTCCTCGTTGCGGCTTCCCCCTCCAGCTTCTTTCATCATATACATCAATTTATGTGAGAAATGAGTACTATTTTTTATTTATTAGCACATTGCAAAGCAGGAATATGATGCTGTTATGTTCCTCTCATTCCGAGTTAGTGGGCGATTGTTGCATAAAACAGTAGAATAGAATTTTGTGATGTGCTTCAAACAACACAAGAAAAATCTGATAAAGTCGGCACTTCTTCGTTATGTTGTAACCCTCTTTGGTAACATAAGTGAAAGTCTAAGGTTGGTTTTTATTTGGGATACATGATCTTTAGCTGTCTGTTCATACATGTGCAGAGTCTGTGACGTGTGCGTTCAACCCAGATGATGTATTCTGTCAAGGACACAAAGTTGCACACATGAATATTGTACATCTGTCGCGGCGTGTCTTTTCCAAAAACGGATATGGTTGGTTTTACATTTTAACAACTTACTGAAACTTGAGAAACTGGATAATTTTATCACAGTATTTTATCTTCGTCCTATACACTTGTGTAAATTTCAATTTTCATAAATAATTGCTCATAGCAGATTAAAGTGCTAAGATGAAAATTTACCAATTTAACAATACAGGTATAGATTTATTTTGAGAAAGCTGGTCTATTCAGTTAACATAGTTGTTCAACGTGCTACATTGTCATTAAATTCGTTCGATGTATACATGCACATATACATGAAAAAATATGCTTTGAATCATTAAATGTTGAAGTGGAATATTGAATATGCTTTTCCTCAATGTAGATCAATTCTCCATCTGTGCTTCCTTATGATGACATTGATAAGCCTGTTCCTATCAGATTTTCATATTCACTTATCGTCACATCCACATATTAATACTTCTACCTGCTGGTTTTCCACCTTACTCAAATATCTCTCAAGAACTCTACATGAACTTTTTATATCCTTTTCTGTACGTCATCATGGAGAATATCGTGGTTCTGATCACAAAAAATAACTGATCGCAAGTTTTGAAACAGACCTGGAGAACACTAATGAACCAGGTGATTTTATGTTTCTAGAGCACTCTTAGAAGAGAGTGGAAAGAAGAGCACACTCTGGTGAAGAGCCTATCTCTACAGCGAAGACCAAGATCGTTGTACAGAGATGTAGGGGAAGAGTCTGCTGATACAATGCCCAGTTATCTTCATTGCTGAATGGCTGCTGCTAAGTTACACTAGAATACAAGATCTTGCATTCTCACTCGGCGAGACTTGAAAGCTCTTTTCCCAATACCGAGAGGATTGCCGAAATTTGGTAGTGAGGATGGGACACCACTTGCAGCATCTCGCCCCCGTCTGACTGACATTTGGTGGAATGGGGTAGACATTACTCAACCCAATATATGGACCACAAGGCATCTTCGAAAAGCTCTGTACATAATCGACAGCTAGACTGGCTACTTGCTACAAAACCGCAAAGTTCACTCGCTATGTGAAAAACTCAGGTTAATTAGTCCCCCGTCCCGATTCCGAATGAACTGCATTGCTACCAAGATGCCAAGACATGAAAGGAATCATAGCTGATAGAAAAGCACCCGGACATTCTTCGTGCGGTAAATGCCCACAATTCTGTATTTCCAGAAGTCTCTGCAGAAACACCATAAAATATGATTAGTGCCATTCCCAATGCGGCAAATATTTTGGTCAGGTCAACACGGATGTGGAAGTTGCAGCGACTGTTTGCAGCAGATACCACGTGTACGTACCGAGTTAGGGAGCTGTGATGTCAAGAACCGGGCATTCTTGATGGGTACCACCTTATCCTGAACCCCAGCCACAATCAAGGCAGGCACGCTTGCTATGGATCCTACCAACTCAGCTGCAGTCGAGACGGGCAATACTGTAGCAGCCGAGGTGGCCTTGTAAACCTCGGACAAGGTCTTGTCCCAATTCTCAACGCAAAGAGGCGCCTGCACCAAAAATTAGGCTAAATCAGGACCAGAGCTTCTGACAAAGATATTATCAACAACTGCCAGATGCCTGACAATCAATAAGAATCAAACAAGTAAAGCTTACCTTGTAAAGATCCAAAATCTCAGAGGTCAATTTTGAGGCATCATGCCAGGCGCGGCGATTAGTGACCTGCGCAATTTCTGAGCGTAGGAGCGGTCTCAACATATGACTACCAAGGCGGGTATGCAACAACGCTCGGGCAGTTGATGAGACGACCTCCTTGTCAAAACTAACACCCACTAGAACCACCCCTTTCACTTCCACCTGCAAAGCATGACACGTAGGGCGTCAAAAAGTAGGCCACTAGTTCATACTTAAGTACTGAAACTACAAAGTCACTGCAGAACTTTGTCAAGACGAAGTACAACACGTCAGCTGGAAATAGATAAAATCTCATTTCGATTTCAATTTTCAAGAAATTTTATTCAATTTTAGATTCTCTTGATTACTTACAAGGAGTTTGTAAGTAAGAAAATCGAAGATTGGACAATAAATCAATACTTTTAGAAAGCAACTCATTAATGAATATCAAAATTTCTCACATGTTACGTGATATTAGATAACTCGACAACACAGTGAAATAGGAATTTATTTTGGACAAATTCATGATGTGCGTCAGTCATACATTAGAGACAGCATGATTGAAGGGACTTGTTTCCAAAGAAGTTGCAGGCTTAACCTGGATATATTCTTTTGATTTCAAAGCCTTGGCGGCAGCCATAAGAGCAAGCGCGCCTCCATCCGAGTGGCCCACAAGAACGACTGAGGTCAAACCTAGCTCTTGGCAGAAGGCAAGGAGCAAATCAACCTGTACCCATGAGAACGTGTATGAAAATATGTACCACTACTAAAATTTCAGAGAGAGCGAGAGAAAGATACAAACAAGCGATTTTCCATGACAAACATCAATAAGCTCTGTTCACGGATAGAGTACCTGGAACTGCAACTCGTAAGGATTTGGTAACCCTTTTTTCTCCCATTCATATCTTTGAAGACGAGTTGTCAAACCCCACCCAGGTCGATCGAAGGCAACAACCCTACAACCAACCTCTCTAGCCACAGTGCCCATGACATTTCTCCATGAAAATACCCCACCTCCAAAACTATGAATAAAGACCACCCCTGATGATTTTTCTTGAGTGTGTCCTTTCCTTGACGGCAAAGACCCTTGATGGGTATGCTGCATAATGGCAGGCCATCCATTCAACGCCGGGGAACTACTCCTCCAGGATGGAGAGCCATATCCTGAGAAGTTCTCGCCTGAATAGCTTCTCAAAAGTGGTGTCCAAATAGTAGTATGTCCAGATCCAGAAATATAAGGGCGCTTATGGGGGTCCCATGCCGAAGAACTTGCTGAACTTTTCGCGGACAAACTCCGTGTGTATGAAGGCAATTCGGATCTTTCGAAAGTATTCTTTAACGGCACTTCAGCAGGCACTTTGCCTTCCACAGACTTGTAGTGTACGCGAAGCCCTTTCAGATTCATGAACAGGCTATCATGATCTGCAAGCAGGTGAGCAGCCAGATCCTTGTAATCTTCCTGTTGAGGATTCATCATCATATTTCTCTCTAAATCGTTCAACCTGGAAATTGTCGGCGAAGAAACTCGAGGAATATGCTGATACAGGCAGCCCATGGACATTAATCTCCTTGGAGATTCTACGTTTGGTCTATCAAAGCAGATCTTGCGCCGGATCTGGCATCGAGCCCTGTAAGCTACAATAATGTGCAGCAATGCGAAAACAGCAGACGAGGTAAAGAGCAATGGCAATGTGGTCCTGTGCCTCCTTTCGCTGAGTGAAACAGGTGACGCCGTGGAAGCTACGAAGTGATCGAGCATAGAAGCCTTCACAGAGAGAAAAATTGTGGAACAAATCCCAGAAATTACGGTGATGCCCAGGTATGGACCATGGCAGAGGTTCGGTGCACCACAGACGGTATAGGCGCCTGAAGATAAGAACACACTATGAGTGGAAGTAATACCGAAACATATGAGGAATATTTCAAAAGCTTCAAATAATATACGAAGCACATCTTGTACAAACTCAAGATAATTGAGGGAGAATCTGATCGATGAGAAAGTTATTATATAATGGTAGAATACGGGTGTTTCTAAAGAGTGGGAAAACGTACAAAGAGCAGCAAGAGAGCGCCCCAACGATAGTAGAGGGATATCGACGAGGGACCCCCGAAAGCTGTATGTTGCCCAATCAGCTCTGAAAGAGAAACACAATTTGCAGCAAGTAAAAGCGGAGACGACGGTGAAGATGTCTGCGATGCAGAGAAGGAGAGGACCGGACGACAAAAATAGTGACCCCAACATGTTAACAATGAAGAACAGAGTCCGCCCAGCTCTTTTCAGGTTTTCCAGGCTGCCCCTTCCAGAACCCTTTCCTGCACCCATGATGAAAGGTGCTCACGAACACCTCACAATCACATCGACACCAAAACTCTGACGCAACTTGCTCTGCAACCTGCAGCTTCGAAAGCACCATAAAACTTCATTTCTAATGCAACCCTGTGCTTCTCTCCATTGCGTAGGGGGATGTGGGCTGCAACTCTCCGAAATCGTTTAGAAGGCGAGGCTCGATTGCCTGACTTCACTTAGACCGATTAGTCGACGTTGGATGCTGAGAGAATAGCCAACGCCAGAATGCCACCACCCTGTACACACCACTTAATGTTAGCCTTGTGCTAGCGTCCAATCAGAACTACAAATTAAAATACTTAATTTCCACAACGGAAAAGCTAATGTTACTCTGAAAAAACCCACCCCTTCCCCTTTTAACAATCTCAGACACCTGCTTTCGGTTAATTCCAAGACAGCTCCTAAGTTTTCACAACTAAGTTGTGCAATAATAGAACTATACACCGTAAAGAATCTCCTCGCACTGCGCCTGAAGTTCAGAAAGCACCAATCAATCAAGAGGAAAAAGAAGAGTACGAAAATAAACGGCACTAAGACTCTTCCTTCCTAGCATTTAACCCCATTGCAACATTTTAACTGATCGAGTAGATAGAACGCGACAACGTCTTTCCATATTCACAGATAGAAAGGAAACACCAAGGTCGGCTGGAAGAGCGTTCGAACGCGTTTCCGTGTCTAGGAGATCAGACCACCTTCTCAAACAGGCCCGAGCAGGATAATTTCTCCTCCGCCTGACTACAAGACTACCCAGCTGTGTCGCCGTCTATGAACAATTCAAAGATGCTTGGAACTATCAATATCTTAAAAACGATTAAACATGTAGCTCGAGCACAACCACCTCACAGAATGAGCTTTCACGGAATTAAACGGCGCAATTCTTTCCAAGGCTACGACCACATTGCAGGATCCTAGTCATATTTTCACTCAACGATAGAAACAAACCCTCACAGCATGCAGTCCCCATACATTGCTGGACAGGTAATCGATAAAATTGGGTAGATAAGAACCTCCTCGGCGAATGAGGAGATGGAACAACACAGCAAAGCGAGGCGTTATTGAAACCTCACGTAACTTCAATTCATTCCTGCTACCCCGTTCGAAGTCAAAAATATGTATAAGTAAGACAAGCGTCACATGGATCTCCAACTATTTGGGCAAAAACATCACGACTAGATAACAATTGGCAATTATCGCAACCAGCTCCCCAGAAACCTGCGTCAAGCAGGCGATTCACAACAGCACTCATTTGCATTCTGCAATCGCAGTCACTAAGGTTCAACTCGCGTCGAGAACCAACAAGGAGACGACCATGCTCGTCAAAAATGAAGCCAGTCTCATTGCATCCGTCAGTACCTCTCCCTTCAGTGGGTCGCAACCGCCACCAGATCAGAAATGCTCGACGCTGCCTCCGATCAACACAATGCCCGTCTTCCTTGCAAGTCGAACTAGCGGAGCCACCTCGAGGGGAGGAGAGAGGGAGGATACATAAGGCGACTCGCTTGCTCTTCTTCACTGGGGGGGGGGGGGGGGTCTTCGACATCCAACCGCTGAATCAGAACTCCATATCGCAGGAAAGAATGAGGAGGCCAGAAGGGGGGATTGAAATCGAAAAATACCAAGGGATGATGACAGAGCGACAGCAGGGATGCAGCCTAGCGCCCAAAGCTGCGAAGCTGTCGCGCTAGGCTATGGAGCCATGCCCCGCCCAACCTTTAGTCCCAGGTGGCGGTGCTGGATCTGCGCGGGAGCCCCAGAGGTATGAAGCTTGCAACAAAGGTGTAAACAATGCGCAGCGCATGCGGTCTCTTCTTATTTTCCAGAAACCTTCCCCTCGCTCTTCCGTCGCCGCAGGAAGCGATCTCCCACCTGCCAGTGGCTGCGCGCGAAACATCCAGCTCGTCAGTTAATAGTGCGCAATTCCCCTTCCAACCGTGTAATTTGAGAGGAGCCCATCTGGTTGCTATTCTAATGAGCAGGGTCCAAGAATAAATAGCTCACCCGGAAGCCGTCCCAGCCGCTCGCGTTTGCTGTATCGGTGTCTTTTAGTTCTTTAAGTGCGAGCCCTCACGCACATGGCCATAGAGCCCGGCTTCTTCTCGGCATTGAGAAACCTTCCCCTCCTGCTGCCAGTGACTCTAACAATCTCAAGTCTGTCCGTTCTTCCGGGAATACTGCAACCGAGGAGATGGAGGCGCTAAGAGAATGGATTTAGAGTGGAGATTCTGACAACACTGACACCGAGGGCGACACCAGGCTAGGATCGCAGCAATCACAGAGCCTTGCAAATGGATTATTGATTCATTCCAGCATAGTCGTGTTGGTTCCAATGCTTCCGAGGAGTAAGAATTCTAGCTCTTCCAAGATTCGCTAGGGGGCTGTTTCCATGGAGCTGTCGACACGCTAGAGTCGAATGCGTCACAACGGTAACAATGCAGTTTCAATTTCGACACGGAGGACATCCCTTTTAAGATTTTCCTCTGTTTAGTTTGTTTTCTTCCTTCTTTTCAGTTTTCGGAAACTACAAAATAAATAACAAGCAAATAAACACAGACTGAGCTCAGCCCAGTCTCGTGGGAGACAGAGATGGGGACAAATGGAGGGCGCGCATCGATGAGAATGGATGATAACGATGATGGTGGGTTTTAATTCATCCATCTATCCATCCATTCATAGCGCTCCGCCTGGATGCTCGCTCTCCCCACACGCAACCAACCCCCGTTCTGCAGCCGTGATCGGTGTCGCAACTCTCCAGGTACGAGTTTCATCCGGTTCTCAATCGGGATGCTGGTTTGTGTCGTCGGTTGACGTGGCCGTTTCTTGTTGGTGTGATTTATGCACATGGAACTCAACTAGTGTTTATAGATTGTGGACAGCTAGATTCAAGTAAGTGTTGTAAAATTAACCAAAAAAATAGATTGTGAAGTTTTGTCTCCGAACTTGACTTTAGGTCAACAAGTAATAATAAGAAAACGTGGTTTAAAAAGTCAATAGTTATTTTAAGTTATGAAACCTTGAGATTTACAAATTCACCTCACAAAAGAAGTACTTTATGGATATATTATTAGCACAAACTCGTGTTATTGTGCCCAAAATTGGCTTAAAAGTGGTTCATGCAAATTTCACATGATTTCTTTCTTTGAGGACATCTTTTGTGAACTACATTCTCTCGCATCGGAGTTTGTTTTTAAGAACTTCCATTAATCACAATTTGTTGGCCAATGGAAATGCAATTTCAAGTCCTTTATTTATCTCTTCACTATTTGTCTTTCACATCGGATGCTTCCTTCGTTATTGTCCACATACACACAAAAAATATATATTTTATAAAAGTAAAAGTAAAAAAGTCACTGTACGAGGCAAAAGAAAACAAAAAGTAGTCTCAGTATGAAACGACGAGTATTTACTTTCTCGAATGAAGAAACATGCAAAAAAAGGACATGGTAATGAAATGTGGGGCACTTCAACCCCAGGCTCGGAAACGGATGTTCTTGTTCCCAACAGTAACCACAAAGAAGCACTGGTAACCACAAAAAAGCGCGGTTACAATTTGAATTTGAAGAAAGGGACGCAGAGAGCAGTTATTACCGTGCCGCCCTTCAAAGCCTCCGCAACCAAGCTCCACACAAACGGCCTACACCGAGGTGTGATAGCAAAACAACATTCGCAGCACTGACGGAACACATCCACCCGATAGACAGCTACGATTATAGTTCGAGATTGGTTGGTGTAAGAGGAATCAATCAGTCAGGGTGTTCTAGGGCTAGCAAGGCGACCATTGCATTGTGCGAGAGGAGGGGCTCCGACACTCTGAGAGAGGCTGTTGGAATGATTGACAACTTCGCGTAGTAATTGAAAGCGTATGCACTGTAACCTAGATGTGCGCCGTCGTGGTTCGGGAGGGTAGTGCGAATGTTCCGAGATCCGATGCAAGCGTTGGATTCCTTAACCCTGGGAATAGGAGTTCGGTGTAACGAACTGGCTGAGATGACGCGCAACAATAGCTCAACAACACCAAGCGCAGATCCTCAGGGAATTCTGGGAGTTTGTGAACCGGACAGCAATCAGCGGCCCTGAGTTTTTGGTCCCCGTTAATCAGGAATGCACCATCCACAAATAGATATTTCCATTTGTACCGTTCTCACAAGTTTTGGCTAATTTGCATCGTCTCGCTGGAAGCTTCACCTCAATTGCTGGCATCACCGCTCCAAACGGAGTTTATGCGCGGATTTGGTTTCAGTGATTTCTGAGGTTCGTGATAGAAATTTGGCTAACTCTGTTAAGAACTCCAGCTTTTAGGGGAGACGATGGACAGCTTAATCACGAGTTAAGCAACGTAATTGAAATCCAATGCATTTTTATATGTTGTTTGTGACATCTCCTTACAATTCTCTCTAATGAAACCGTATCTAATTCTGAAATGTGCTCGATCGAGAGAGCGCGGTTATCTTTGACAGAAAACGGGAAAGCAATACGGTTTAAAAGAAGTTGTATACACAAAGGAACATCTGTCGTGTTTCATGGTCAGTTTTTCATACTGGCTGTACTGATTATAAACTATAGTAATACGTTTCCAAATCCGTAAAAATACTCCGTCGCGGAGCTAAAACATCTCGACAGCATTGGATAGACATACTTTTGACCATTCAGGAGTTTGTTTAAAAGTATAGCACCTAACTGCGAACTTGTATATTATGTTGTTTTTCGGAGCTTGCAATGTTTCATACTCTGTTACTTTGAATATGTGCTTAAAGGATAAAGTCCTTACAGTACGGGCCTTGTTGTTTTCAGTATCATAACTAACAAAAAAAAAAAAAAAAAAAAAAAAAACTGAATGTGAAACATTTCACAAACATGAGGTTCGAAAACAACATCAAACTATCCTAGGCATTGCTGCTCCGACAATGAGATTCCAAGCATGCATGCAGTGGAAGATGATAAGAAAATAGTAACATGAGAGACACTTCATTGTTCTAAAACATGGTTTTATAAATCCACAAAACCCGTTATGATGAAGAATAGAATAAATGAAATCCACAGAATCAGCTTAAAAATGCACAAAAGGAAACAAGAGGTGGTAGCGCTAGGAGAAATCTTGTGGCGATAAAATTTGTATGCGTACCCATATGTGTGTGTGTGTGTTTTTTTTTTTTTTTTTTTTTTTCATTCACACGAAATATTTGTATACGTCAATTCAAACAACCGTGAAATGAAAGTGCATTTGTATACGTCAATTCAAACAACCGTGAAATGAAAGTGCATATATTAACAGACAACTGAGGTATTTACGCTCACACGTTAGTAATCATACCAATATATATTTAAATTTATTGTACGATTTTAAGTATACAAACGATAGATAGATCAACTATATACAGAATATTATAAAATTTCATGAAAGATGAGCTGTCACAATCTGGAAGAAGCATACAACATGCAGAGTAGGGAACAACTGAAATGATAAAATCTCACAATGCCATTAACATGAACAGATTGGGTAGTGATTTAGAATGTTTGATGGGTACTACTTGAATGCGACATTTTAACACCTATTTATTAATGTAAAGGAACTGAAAACTTTATGCGAGAAGATTATGATTTCACAACCCTAAGGTCATTCGATAATTGTTATGCACAGTTTGCAGTTGTATGAATTCAAAATAGATTTTTTAAATATCTAACCAGATCATTTTCAAGAGTACGGACCTATTAGAAGCACGAGAGTCTTGATAAATCCATATCATACAATTCAACAGAAAAGAGCATTGATTCTCTCGGTGCATTGCAGTTAATACACTTTAAGCATTCGTTCACTTATCTTAATGCAATTTCTCCTTGAAAATAGCATTGTAACTCATTCAAACCGAAACCTGCTTTAAGAACATGGATGTAAAAAGAACTCTAATCTATTTTTCCCATTATGAGCATCAAAAGAATAAAGATATGAACGCCAACCTCACCACCATGAAAATCACACATCATCACTCCCCATGCACACTTAAAAAAAGACAGTGGAAAGAGGAAACAGAAGAGGGACGTAAGGAAGGCACAGATGCAAAAGGAAGCACAGTATGAATGAAATGCTCCAGAATAATAATAATGCGCGACTGGGGAGGCAACAATCCTCTGCGAGTAACCATCAGTGTCAGGGAGGAAGGGAGCTTCAACAGGACACACACACACACACACAAAAATAAAAATAAAAATAAAAATGGTGCAACCATGAACAGCAACGGAGGATGCCTAGTGTGCGAGGGAGAGAACGGGGAGGGGATTAGCTGTGCAGCTTGCTGTATTTGCAAGAGGTTTTGAGGCAAGTGGACGGAGTTTTCCAGACGGAGGTGAAGGTGGTGGGGGGATTGCGCCACTGCAGGGATGCCATGTTGATCTGGCGCCCGTCGGGGTCTCGCCCGTTGTAGTCGAAGACGATCGACTCGAAGCAATTCCACCAGAAGGCGGACGCATTCCGGAAGCGCGTGAGGAAATCCTGGGAGCAGTGGTCGCAATTGTTGTCGCTCTGGATGAAGACGTGGGGATTGAGTTGGAATAAGAAGTCGAGGAATTTGTCGCGCGGGGAGAGGCGCGGTGGTAAGCAGTTGGTGTCGGGCTCCTCGGATAGCCGGTGGAGACGAAATTGGCAGATGACTGCTAGAAGCTGCACAATTCAGTACCACACTTCAAAGTTCAGAAGCCTCACCTCCTGAACCTTACCATAGACATTGGCGAATACACTAGTCTGTACACCACAACATGGCACACTGCAATTGGAACATACAGACGGGGGAATATGAGGATTGGTTTCCTTCTGTAAGATTCACCTCGCCGTCATTAAGCCTCCTGAGTGACGCATTCGAGCGCTTTTCGCACCATATTCACTTCCACATGCAAACCGAGAAGGCCGGGAAATTTCACCAGCCTCGTCATGAAATCACTACTTTCGGAGTTGAGTTGACTTCGCAAGTTGTGCTCTTCCCGCTGAAGATCCCTAATCATGGTCATCCTCAGAATGGACGGTGGTCCACCCGAGCGGCTGACGAGGGCGTCGATGAAGATGGGCCATTCGATACCTTTGCCAGCGCCGATGTCAATGATGTGCAATCTGCTCTTCCCCGCGCAGACTTCCAGCAGGGTTTGGCTCATGATAGAGTAACAGTTTTGATGCCAAGGGACGTGTTCGTGAAATTTCACAAGAGCACGGTGTACCATTTTGGGTCCCAAACTTAGCTCCTGATCATAATGTTTCGGACGCAAATACGTCTTGGCGGCTTCCAAACTTCCTGTAATCCTACAAAAAAGTGCCCGGTGCCCGTAAGCTGCGATTCGCTGGTTGGCATCGCCAACTACGGAAGCAAAATCGTTCAACACCCACATGAGATGCTGCGTTCTGCTGACGTTTTGGCTCTCTATGGCGGCTGCGCAGAGATTTAGCAGCTGTACAGCCCAACTGGATTCACCAAGGCTTTGTAAGCCTGACCGGCCGGGTGCCATCAAGGTGGAGAGATCATTGTCGACTGTGGGATCGGACTCATTGTATGAACTACCCCCAGAAGCGCAAGCCACTTCCCCATCATCTAAAACCTTACGATATTGTTGATGACTAGTCTGCATCTGATCTTCGAAATTGCTTTTCGGTCGGGAAGACCGTTGCGCAGCTGCGTGGTTTCCACCTGTGCCGGTGGTGGAAACGGTGTCGGAGGCTGTATCTTCCATGGAAAAATCCATGCAGTCCGATCTGACTTCCATAGCAGGAAGTTAAAATCCTGGATCCGAGTCCCGGACCATTTCAGAAAGACGGCGAACTTGGCCCTGCCCAGCAAACCCGTGAGAAGGATTAAATTCCTGCGATTGCCTTGTAGACGTGGGAGAGGAAGTATTGCCGTATTCAGCTGGGACGCTACCAGAGCTCTCGGCGACTCCGGGTATGGGATGCGAGGGCATGGTCCAGGCTCTGTGATCTGCCACCGGCCTAGAAGTAAGCGGTACTTCATTTGACACTGAAATTGAGATATGTGCGGGGGGGTCATGGAATCCATGAACCACCTCAATCATATTGTTGTCCCCCGGAACATCGTTGTATTGCACTGACGTTTGAGCAAGAAAATCTGATTCCAAACTCTGCCAAACGTTGTCATATTGCTGCAAGTTATTATCGCTCAGCGTCCCATAGGGTTCGTGAGAGACAGGCGGTTGTGCTGGTGGTAAATAGCGGTAGTCCATGTGCGGGGCGCTGAATTGCTGTACAGGGTTGAGTTGAGGTAAGAAATTGCTGTCGGGTCGCACCATGTAATTTGGTTGCGGGACGGGTCCGCAGCTGAGATTGCTGTATCCATTTTCTGATAGCGTCTGTCACAAGACATTTACAATCAGTATCTTATCTGTAGATTTGAGAAAAATGCCGTCAATCAGTGACAGCAGACGCAGAATACAATGCATCACGATCACTTAAGCAAAGAGGAGATGAATCAATTTACTTGCAGGAAGTCAGGGCTACTCTAGGGAAGGAAGCTGTCGGGATTACTTACGTGCGAATTCTGAGGCGAGACCTGAAATCCAAACCAAACTCGTTAGAATACTTGTTGTAAACTACATTTGCGCAACTGCAGTGTATCTTAAAAGGTTGTATGACTCACCAAATAAACGTATTCAGGTTCTGGGTTGTTATATGGATTAACCCAGGGTTGTGCGGCACCGCACTGAATCGGATTACCTCCACTTAAATCCATGACTTGCTGGCCACCTCCTATTACATCATTCCCAAACATGGGAAAATTGGGGGCCGCGAGTTCGTATGCATTTCCACCGGATCCGACAGAACAAGTCGGTCCCAATTACGTAACTAGCAATCCCTCAATTGCTGTTTACGTTGCGGCATGTAACTTCTCCAGACCTAACGTATATAAATCCACTGGCCATTCTCATTACAGGTCAATGTACACCGTCTATTGTTTCTCGACACAATAATACAAGGCCACGTTGAGACACGATTGAAGTTCGAACTCTTACAGATCAGCGAATACAGGAATGGAACTCCAGGATGTGGAAGATGAGCCGCCGCAGACCTCTGAGCCACATGAAACCGTGCCACACGCAATTCCATCAAATTCATGTGACAGTCAAATAGAATTGAAGATCAGACGATTCAAAACTCCGGCATACTGATAAGAAAAGGGGCAGTGGAAGTACCTGCATTTTTGTGATAATGGATGCCGAGGGACATCCACTTGGCGTGATGTCTGCCAGTTTTGGTCAGGTATTAGATGTCATCAAAGGTGACACTTAGTTTCCGCAGTAAAGCCCTATATCACAATACGGTTTATGTAAACTCAGCGCTGGTGAAAAGAATATAGAATGCCCACCCTCATCACAGTAATGCTTGGGAATCAGAATCAGCTGTCGATCGTGCCTCCTCCAATGGGTCTAGGATCAACCTGGAGGAAGGAAAACTCAGGAAGCTCCGAAAACCATGCTCATCCATGCTTCTTGCCTTATCGTTCATGCATCGGGAGCTGCGCTTGCCAACGTAGAAACAACTTGCTTATAGTCTTACGACGGTGACAATCCTAATTTGTATCATCTTATTGCCCCTCCCACGTGACTTCCTGCAGACTGCCTCTATTACCACTTGGGTCACGCGTTGCCTCCAAAGTCTGAGTTCAGTCTAAGATGGCTAAGCTCCGCCATACAAACACTCAGTGCTCTGAGAGCACAATGGTCTCCCCGCATCAGAATCTGAGATATACCATCTGGGCATCGACACGAGGTTGGTCCAGTGCCAATTTCAGCCATCTTCAAGAGGTTCTCTGTTGGTAATTCCTGAACCGTATTTCCAATCAGACAGATGCAAATCGGATGGTCTAGTCGCAAGAGTTGATAACTTCCCATGCACATCCGAAACCTTGCGTGCACCGAGCATATGCTGGCGCAGAGTTCAAGGCAAACCCAATCTGGACTGAAAGCTTCAGATCCGGGCATGCAGAATGTCAAACCACGGGAAAGCAGATACCAACCTGAGGCTTCGGATGAGTGAGTTCTCGAATACTGCAGGGCATCGTGCCAAAAGGACCCAAATGAATCGCCAATTTCGACTCGATTATCTTTCTCGCATGAGCCTTCTGTTCCGGAACCGACGGATGAGCAGTAGAACCACAGTAGCACATTACCAAGTGCCGCAGGGATAGCCCCCACTGCGTTCGTACGTCAGGGAGCTTTGATGGCGAGTCAAAGGGAATCTTGAAGGAAGGATGAAACGTCAATTGTCGGCTTCAGAAGATGCGACCATTTCCACCCCTAAAAGCTAGATTCCTACCATGCACATCCACACCCACCCCTCTCCGTCGTCTTGATCCCTGAGCATTAGGCTGGAGCACTCCAGATATGGAGAATGCATGCTTTCATTGACAGCCGACTGTTAGCAAGCCCCGCTCCTGCACAGATGAGGAGCTCCCAACGAGGGCTCCTTGTAAGCGTCATTCAACGAAACCGCAGGATGAAAACAACCAACATCACCAAGACGTAGAGTAAAAAATCCCTGGGGCCCCCCCACTGTAAACGGCAAAGCGTCACACAATCGCAAGGGGGTACATCCCGCCGACCCAATAAAGGAGGTTAAGCTTATTTGGATGGAAAAACCGCACAGTGCGAGTCGGGCGTCGTCCTCCAACTGTATGCATGATTCCAAGGAAGATTTTGGCCGAGATGAAAAAGGTAAAGCAGGATCCGATCAATTAGCTGTTGCACCTCGAGGCTGTGCTGGATACAAGTGGGCGAACTGCCGTGCCCCGGAGGCTTCGATTCAGCATCCCCCGTAATTCCCTGAAGAATCCCAACGAATTCTGCATCTGCGTTGTGGAGATAGATTCCACCCCATCTTTAAACCCCTTCCTACCCACCAGAATGATCCCACATCCCCACCCATCGTCACCAGACAGCCTCCACACTCGGGACCTACGCTGTAAGTTTTTCAAGAGTAATTGTATTTATAAAAATGCAAAGGAAAACTTGATTCTTAAAGAATTCGTGGTTCGTGCAATACGACATCCCTTCAAGATCTGAATGCAAGATCCATCAACAGGGAATGCAGGAAAGCGAGTCACATCCGTGCGCTTGGTTGCAGGACAATACAAGTAACTAGAGTGCGATCACTTGCGCATTCATATCGAACATGCCTTCCATTAGTCTCATGGTTCACTAGGCATTTTTCAAGTGGATGTGGCGGATCGAAAATCATTCTAGCAACTGTCAAGCTCCGTAGTTGAAACGACGATTGGAAGTGCGTGCAAATCATGGAATCTAGTTCAGGTCTTGTTCATCCAAACGGATCACCACTGAGGCGGTACATGATTTGCGTGAAAAACGAGGCTGCTGCAGGCTCGAAAATCCGGTACTCAGTTTTATTATTAGAGGAGAAACAAGCCAAGTCGATTCATTTACCCGTGAAACCTCGACAATCCACTGTTCGGGAGAAAGCGGCGAGTATTTGGGCGCTCATTTCGGACCCTGGCAGGCAGGAATCTGGGTCGTGGAGGGAGGGCCCACGCGTGTCCCCCGAATCACCAATCCAGGCTCAATGACCACCAACGCCTGCCCTTCCCCCTTCCCTTGTTTTAGCGCCTCCTGCTTCGCTTATCCATCACCCAAAGGATGGACTGGATCGTCACCATTTCTACTGAACCTCCATCGCCATTTCTAGTGAATCTCCACTCATTTGTCACTACTTTCATTTGCTCTTTTGCATCCTCCGAAGCACTGTACTACTTCTTCTGTTGGGTGGGTGACTTTACCTTGACCCCCCCCCCCCCCCACACACACACTTTTCCTTCAAAAGTCTTCCATACAAGCACTCGTTCTTCTTCGCTATCTCCCTTCGGATTCTGATCTTACAAGCTAATCTCTAAGAATTGCTACTTGAGGACTTTGTAGTTTTGACCCACTGCAATTTCACTTTAAAGAGAGGTTTGAAATAGGTTGTGACTTTAGCAATGAAAGTTGTTACAATGTGTTGAAGCTGTGTTTATAGTGGTGACGGCAATGGTTTTTTGGTACCAATATGGCTGCATTAGGGAGTGCTGAGAATCCAATTCAACATGATGAATTAAACTTGGTAATAAAAATAATCAAACGTGACTAAAGAATAAATAATACTTTTTGCAAAAAATCCAATGTATTATTAATCCATTAACTGTGTATGACTGTTGGAAGAATAAGCAAAAATGAAATATGTATACATATACACATGAATTCTGTTGTTATATACATTTAAAACGTTCTTAATTTGCAAACTCCACTGAAAAATGGGTATTGATAATATGAACCACTTCGATGAATATTGATTCAAATATATATATTTTTTCATTCAAAGCTTTCTACGTGTGGTGTGGTCATAAATGACGATTTGTTCATATTCTCCAGACTTGATCTGTAAAAATAATTTTAAATTAGCTGTTTTAGAATATGTTTTACTACCAACTTGAATGACATCAAAATATGATATCATCATAAAATTAACAAAAATATTATATATACATGTTCAAAAATTAGTGTTGACAGTGTTGCTAGAAATATTTCCGCATATGTATCATTTTAATTTTTAGTATATACATTTTTTATTAGTTTGGGATGATTTTCGATGAAATATTTTATGATACTTATGTCATTTGATACACAAAATAAAGGTTCTCACTTCTATTTTCCATTTCAATATCTACAAATAGAAACAAATATTAAATTGAAAAACACATATTCATATTTTGAGTGTTTTATTTTATTTTTATTATCCAGTTTACTTGTGTGGAATATGTACATACAATTATGTTAACTTTAAATAAATTTATAATTTAATTAATAAATTAATAGTTTCAAGGAACGGTGAAGAGGATTTGTCGTACCACAGTGCGTGTAGAGTTGTCACCAGGAGTAGGAAGCTTAGGATCCATCTGCACAATGACGAACTAAATGTGTATGAATACTGATGGATTGATGTCATATTTATTACAATAATGTTGGCACTGAAGAGAATTGAATTGATAAATTGACCAGCAGTTTTTACCATGGACTTTCTTTGTCATTAATACTTAAATCATACAAGTCAACAGTATGACACATTTCACAGAATCAACTGTAAACAAATAAGTATACTTATATTTACTAGAAAAAAATCATCTCACAGTAGTCTTGTTTTTTTGGTATTTTAAGGAACACATTACAAGTTTTAATTTAACATTAGTTTGACACCATTAAAAAAAACCATCAAATATTAAACATAATTTGACTGAAATATATTTGATGATAAATTTACTTGTGTCTAAATTATCCTTGTTTGAGATTTGAAGATTTTTTCGAATTAAAATACTCCACAGTTAAAAATTAAATTAAATTAAAAAGTTGGTTGTTACACTCATGACTTTGCGATCAATTTTGTTTTTGAGCAGCATCCCGTTCTCATTCTCAGCTATCACCTTCATTTTGCGACCAAATCATGAATAGGTCCGAGTCAAGATAATACAAATATGAATTTGCAAGAAGATAATTTATAATATCATTCTAAGTAAGTAGAGGCCAGCAACTTTGAGAAATGAAATGAGAAATGTACATGCCAATTCGATGTTGAAGTTGTATGAGAAGTATTTGTTGTCCTACACACATCATACATTTTAGCTAAATTTAAAGAAAGTGGTTATAGATCTATTAAAAATCAAATCTTTTCATTTTCTAAATAGGACGAAACATTAATAGAACGGGGGAATGAATCGGTGCATAATTGCTTCGGGAGGTGAATGAAACTCACCTTTAAAAAACATTTGAGTGTCCAATATATTGCTAAAACCAACCTGAAAGCTGTCCAGAGAATGTGCACTACCAATTATAGTAAGAAAGATCGTAGATTTCTGGGAGGAGCTTGCGCTTGAGGAGAAACACTGGTTTCAAGTCTTGAGTCCTCATTCGCTCAGCAAAATCAATGTATCCCGACACCTAAAATTCATTCACCAAGTTTTGGTGCGACAAAAGAAAGAAAAGAAAGAAAAATGTCATGTAAAAAACAAAGATGAAAAGGAAGAAAAAGAGGCAATTTGCACTGTTCGATTGTTTTCTTCTCTAAAGTTTCAGCGTGTTTACCTCGTGGCCGGCTTTGGTGTAGTCTCGGATGAAGACCACTGTCTGCAGTGTTTGTATCGGAAAAAAAAGTATTGTACATATATGGAATAACAGAGGTTTGTCTAGACTTGTGCCTTTAATTTCAATGAATGATCAGACGAAGAAAGGATACACACAACTTGCCTTCAATTATAGGTCGCTCTCTGTCTTGTAAGGCCTGCACACAACAGCTTTTGCTTTAGTAGAGACCCATCAAACCCACATTTATTATATGAAAGGCTGCAAGTACCACAAAGGAGTTATACCTCGTTGAAATATTGAAAACTTTCACACATGCGAATGATTATAAACTCGTAAGTAAATTTAGACACTTTATAACCTGATTTGTAGAACCCAAAAATCCAAAACAAGCATTTGTTTACTAAAGAAACAGACTCGACAAAGATTCGGATGTTCGATTGAGGTGGCAACAATTGGGATGGTAAGATTTTGTGGAGTTTTGAACGAATTCTGCAGTCACGAAAGTGGGAGCCTATGACTTCCTCACACAAGGCTACATTCACAGTTTACTAATCAGTTCATTTTCGGCATCACCTATGACAACTTCTGAATTTTGTAAGCTCATTCTAACCCACAGAAGTTGCTCATGTCATGGTCAGTGCCAATAACACAGTGAAGTAGACATGGAGGACCCATAGGGAATTACGGAGCTTAGCTCCATGCAAACATTGAGCCGGAGAACTGGTAGCTCGAATAAACTGCTGCATTGATTACCTTGAGAAACGGGTAACCAGAAACATCCTTTCCGGCACTGAACAGCTTCTTCGGCACTTTGACGATTGTCTACAACATGGGATTTGATTTTGTACTGAAGCTTGAGTGCAGGCAATGCGGGGTTACTTACAACAAAGAAACACATTGATTATCCAAATGACATTGTTCAGCTGACGTCATTCATTCCTCTTAAATTGTTAGAATCTGGCAAACGATAACATGTCCTGTAAGAGTATCACTCATCAAAACCTGACATATGTTTTTTTTTTTTCTTTTTTTTTTTCTTTTTTTTTTTTTTTTTCTTCTTCTCCCTTCATTTTGTTTTTCATTTCTGTATTTAGTGGGGGGGGGGGGGTGTGGCGGAGAGCAGACGTAATATTTAAAGAAGTTAGTACTCACAGGAATGCAGTTTTGTAAAATAGACTACATTAATGCCCCAACAGTAATCTGCAAGTCACGATATCTTGGTAGCAAAATCTCAGAATTTCAGTTAACTTTGTGTGATGCACTTTCCCACCTAAATCCTTCCAACTCATGCAAAGAAATTCAAGGTGTCTGGCAAACAAACCACGATAAATCCTCCGTCTATGTCCGTGAAGAAACCCTTTCCTTCTATTGCCAATGAATTTCTTTAGAATGAACAAACACATCCTATGTTAGGTACAACAAGAAAGTTCAACTTTGCACTACCGCTTGACGAGCAGCTTCAGCTTTTACTTTGTACTGGGCAAAATCATCCCTTGACATGACTTCTGCATTGCTTCTGTACCTGTAACAGTTTTACAAGGGCCAGTTGGTAAAATTTGGTAACGGCCTATATTTAGTCATACAGCTAAAACTCGTTTATGGCATTGTGGTTGTTTTCTTCGTCACTTCCATATTCTTACGAGTTTCATCTTTTTGGATCCTCCACAATGAAGTGTATGGAACGAGGAATGAAGGCAACTTTCAACCTCCCTCTTGATCCGCACATGAAATGAGCTTTCGGCAACGGAATTATTCGCATGAACCAGTTTGTATGAATGCACAGTTTCTTAGACTTAATCGGTACGTAACGAGTGACGTTCCCGTACCCTATTTCGACGAGCTGGCGAGCAAGCTCCAAGTCCTCCAGATAAAACAGATCCGTCAATGTGATTTGACTGTCCAAGTAGTCCTCATATCTGCACCATCCCCATCTCCACTTTTTGTGATAACATCTCCAACACATCCAGCAGGTCGTCAGGTTGGATGTTCTCAGCACAAGCAAATCCAAGCCTCCAAGCCCGAATAATGCCAAATTTTCGAACTTTTCGCGCTATCAAACTGCAAAAAGCTCATCACAATTGCCCTCTCGAAATCCTATTTCCGGTGGATCATGTGAGCAGCATCAGTAGATGTGATTTGTCGCTAGGGAGGGGGAAGACTCACGATTGGAATTCATTGACGATGGCAATGCCTTGCGTGGTTGTGAAGGCAGGAAAGTCTTCCTTCTTGGTACCCATCTTGAGGGGTTTGCGTCCTGATGCCGCTGCCATTTCCATCGTCTCTCTCTGCTGCCAGTGCCAGTGCCAGTGTTCTTCGTCACGCCGAATTTCTTACCTTGACACCGAAACCTGCCCATCCATCGACGCCATTCCAGCAATCTATGCGTGATTGTCTACCCATCCATCAATTCATGCTTTCTATCTGCTCCAAACTTCATGTTTTCCTGGTCTCGAACCCTGACATTGCCGAAACCCTAATTCTGCTTCTTGTTTCGGTTCATGTGGGTGTTGGTAATCTCCGCTCGCTGCAGCATGAGCTTTTAACTACCTCGGAGAGTGTGAGTTTGTATTGAGTTTTGTTGACGTGGTTGCAGAGTTCATTTGTCAGTGTGTGTGTGGAGATGCATTGTCTATAAAAACAAACACGGAAATATTAACATGTCTGATAATTACAACTTGCATTGGTAGAATGTAACTATTGTTGGTGTAGTATCTATCCATGTTGTTTTTGTGATTTTCCTTTTTCCTCTGGTTAAACATCAAATAGCATAAGGGAAAAAAAATATGAATACATGTAAAATTTATAAAACACTGTGTATGCATGTATTGTGAAATAACTACTGTGTGTGTTTTCCACAATTGTTCAATTCAACCACTTACTGAACATGTAATCAACATCAATAAAACTAACTTGATGGGGTTTGCATGGGAATAATATGTTGTATGATTAATAGACTATCAATGTTAAAATCTCCTTTATTAAATAAGAATTGATGGATATTTGTTTTGATGACGAATTATACGACTAAAAAAGTTGTTTGACATTTTGTAATAACACGATGGTTTATCTTGCTGTAACAATGTGCTCTCTTTTGCTACCACTATTCCTTCCGTATCTTGCTCTGGTTGTGTTCTAATTATTTTGTTTTATTTTAAATCTACATGTTAGTGTATCCCACTGATATTTGTTTATCAAACATAAAAAAGTGTACATCCACTTTGAGTTGAATGATGAGGTTGAAAACCTGACAAAAAATGAAACCATAACACATACTCATATGTGTACATATATACTTACTGTACAATTTCTAGTAACTCAAAATTGAAATTGTTTTGGGTGTATCTTGAGGCGTCAATGACCTTTCAACATTAGACAACACATCTTTATCATGCTTACTAATGTATCCTATTGGTCCTTTGCATGTGTGTAAGTATACATACATGACTTTATTTGACTTTTCTTCTGTTGGATTTGTTACAAGTCTATTTAAAGCCATGGTGTATAACTGTGGTGATTTGGAAATTGACTTAGTTTCCCAACAATGCTCCTCCAAACAACCCAAACATCAGATCCGGAGCTACTTGGCAATGCAAAAGTGGTGACTAATCTGTTTGTTTAATAATAGTGTCAGTTGTACAACTTTCCCCTGCAGATGGTACCGATACACCCTGAACACTCGGCCTCTTCAGCTTTCAATGGGGGAATATGGACGACAGCCTCTCCCCAGCTCCGGGTTCCGTCCTTCCTACAAATTCTACTAACAACTAATTGTTAAGAACTACAAGATCTGCTGCAAGTCTGCATCTTGTCGTGCCAGCTCTAGAAGCATAGGATCGTCGAAGAACTTGTTGATGCTCACATCTTCACTCATTCCCTGCACGCGCACAGAAATAACGTATATTCAACAATGCATCTCCGAAGTTATGAGTAAGAAAAGCAAAAACTGAACCCAAAGAGTGTTCCGCCAGGAGTTACTTTGTTATTAAAAGCCGATAAACTCACACAAAATACACACTAATCATAGCTCGAAGCATCAGTTCAACAACAAAAGTTAGCTGATTACACCTGGTGATACGGAGGAGTTAGCAAACGTGACAATCAATCGAAAATCGATAGTTGGAGGAGAGACCAAAAAGGTTCATTACCTTTCTACGCCTCGTTTTGACCATAAATTCACGAGCCAGGTGTTGAACTGGAGCTGGCTCCAGAGGTCGCAGCACAACTGACTTGTCAAGAGGATCACCAGGTACAATCGACCAATGATCAAAAACAGATACACAGAAAGCTTGTCCTTGTGTATGATACCGAAGGTCAGTTTCGAAACCAAATGATTCAATTACTGGTAAAAACGCCTGCAGTCCCACACCAACAACCATAGAAGTACTAAATGGCTGGCACGAGAAGAAACACCCTATGTGGTTCAAAGTAGCAAAATCGTAGCTTCTGAAATTCGTCTAATCGATTGAGTGATCATAAAGAAATACTACTGAAGTGAAGTTGACGATTGAGCAACACACAGGAAACACTACGCTACTGCTCTACACATGATTTACTACCCAAGTTCAATCAGTAGTGGCACGCTAATGATCAGATTCGATCAAATTGACCGTTACGTTCTATAACTAGAGAATTTCAAAGCTGAGACAAGTTGCTACCTTAACGATATATGCTGGAGTGCCGGGTTTCGGTACATCTGCAGTGACATGCCCTCTTCTCCTCGAAAGGACAGTGTAGATTGCTGACATGCAATCTGCGGGTGTTTGAATCTGTGGTAAATAATATATATCAAGGTTAGAAGCCTTCCTATTGCAGAAATCAGCCACAAACCTGTTTAAGATAAACATTACTAGCACATTCAGATAGGACCGACAAAAACACTCAAGTACCTCCACAAAATAGACAGGCTCCATGAGCCGGGGAGTCGCCATAAGGAAAGCTGAGTATGCAACACGTCGAGAGGTTGGAATTATCTGGCCACCGCCCCGATGTAGTGGCTCTTGAGCTATAGCGGCATCTAGAATTTTGAACTTCACATTGCGTATTGGTTCATCACACAGAGGTCCTTCACGAGCTCCCCATTGAAACCTGCATAAATCACTCATCTAAATAAGTCTATATTGCTTTTCCTAACTAAAAAACTTTATCTCCTCTACTTATAGCAGTCGCAATGCTGATCTTTGGAGGAGTTGCAAAGCACAAGGAAATCTAAGCAGCTGACATTAGATTCAAATTAGCCAATGTACGGCACATCGAATTAGAACTTCACTTCAACTTGGAATAGCCTCCATAAAATACCGGGTGGAAGATATAAATTACAAGACGACCCAAAGTGGCAGTTAACCGCATGTATTTAGACTATGGCTTACCCTTGGACAATAGAATCTTTCACAGAATTCAGAAGGCCTTTGTCCACTTCACTTGGTAATGTATCGTCCAGCAAAATGTTTGGTCCCTAAAAAACACAAATTGTACACCCCGGCATTACAAAAAGAAACCTAACATTGCTGAGGATTCGAACATAGTAAAACTTTAATCAAGCACAAGATCCAAGAAGTTCCTCATCAGCTCTTGTGAAATAAACAATGGTCATCGAAGAATTCGCAGATTGTCTTCAGCTTACTAAAATATGACAACAAACTCCAAAAGGTAAATAAATTGCCCCAAATACCTGTTTATCTGGACCGAAGGCCCAAATTGACCGGGCTGCTAAAAGATCCCAGTCGTACTTTGTTTGGAAAAAATCACCCAAACGCTTTCGAGGCCAGTCTAATGATACTACTCCACTTTCGATGTCTTCTGCTAGCCCCTTCTCTAACGGCTCAGCTATCTGGAGACATAAATGGTAATTTTAGTACTTCATAAGCTTTATCGTCATGATACATAGAATTCGAGTTATTTATTTCATAGAAAAGGAAAAGAAAGTAAGAGGAACATAAGGTATACCATAGTCAATTTGTTTTTCTTATTTGGCGTCTCAGCAAAACACTTCAAAGAGGACGTCTCCACCACAGTCTCACAAAAAGTAACGACTGGATCGGCCACCTGGTTGCCACATAGTAGCAGCACTGTCAGAATGATAAGCTTCAAAGAAATTTCAACCTTAAACCACTTCCAAAAGAAAGCATCTAAAGGGCATTCTCCCGACTCTCAACCCGAGAGAGAGAGCGAGAGAGAGCGAGAGAGAGAGAGAGATTAAAATTTCCTTAAGGATATCACAACCAGAAAAGCAAACTTGGATCATGAAAGAGCTTGTATACAATCAATGGACTAAAGAGAGATAACGTACTTTGACTTCTACTTCTGAGTACATTTCACGTAGATCTTTCATAATAGAGTCCAGGAATATTTCGCCAGTGCCCAATATTGTATGCTCCCCCGACTCCTCAACCTTGGTGATAGCGAGTGGGTAACTCTTGCTAATCTTCCGGAGTCCTTCCACCATTTTAGGAAGCTCACTGGGATTGAGAGGCTCAGTCGCAGTCTTCACCACTGAGAGAGTATTGAACTGTAATGGACGGAAAATATATACATCCTCATCATGAAATTCATTGCAAAGAGTTGCTGTTTTGATAATTGAAGCATCGACTCCTTCAATGAGAACCCAGGACCCCGCTGGAGCTTCCGTCACTGGAATGCGGTAGCGAGCTTGATAAACCCAAAGTTTGGTGACTTCCTTAACAGCCATATCTTCTTCATCATCTGGAGAATAACCTTCACCTAGAACCCTCACACATTGCCCCGTGCGGATGGTACCACTTAATATTCTCCCAAATGAATCAAAAAGGCTGCAGTCAGCTTTCGGGTAAAGCTTGGTGACGTTGACCATCAATGGTCCCGCCGCGTTGCAGTCGCGCATAGATTGTGCAAGTTCAGTATCTTGAGGGCCAATATAGGTGTGCTCAACTTTCGTAACCGCAGCATCTTTAGCTGAAGGGATGTGCTTCACCAGCATGTCAGTAAAACCTGTCCCAGATCCAAAAACTGAACTGCATGCTAGCTTAAGAAGTGGTTTCACATTTAGCTTGTATGCCGCATTACTTAGGGTAACTCCCAGCTCTGCCAAAGTCCTTTCCACACTCTTACGATGCTCCCCGATCACCTATGCAAGAAAAAGCTGAAATTTTAAACATAAAGATAAAAATAAACGAGCAACATCAACTTGAACTCGAGGTTATTTTAGCAACTGAACCTGTGTACAAAGTATCTTCCAAACCAAAACAAATAAATACAAAGATTATATGCCACTTTCTGCACCTGAAACATCAAATGACAAAGAGCAAACCTGGCTATAGATCTTGTACAGAGGTTCCAATATGAACTGCACAAATGCACGCTCTCCTCCACCAGGAGGGGGTTTTTTCCTAAATGTACGAGTATCCGGATGGTAATAAGTGTCACCCCAAAGTTTTGAAGCAAACTTAGCAGGATCAAAAGGAATCCCGTGAAGCTTGACGTAGAGTTTAGCAAATGACAAAAGCGTAAACGACCACCCAGCAGTGGCACTTGCAAAGCACACGTTTCCAATCATTGGATCAATTAATGGCACCCCGTCCACACCAGATGAATATAGGGATATGAGGTTATTGATCTCTTCAAGGGTATGACGAAGCTTGTGATATGCATCTGTGGGAGGTAGCTTCAGCTCTGTAATCAACCGATCAACCTGCATACACATACACAATCTAAATACATAATTCATAAGTTTGGTAAAACTAGCCGCTACGATTATTCTAAAAGAGAAGTTATTGATGATGGAAGAAGGGATAGACATTATTATCCCAAGTTCAATGTGATCACTAGTGACATTACTCTGGGAATTGTTCTATTCAATTCAGGATACTGGTTTACAAACTACATACAATTCAAGGTATTCACGAATTTGAACAATAGAGAATACTTGGAAACACAAGAAAAGAGGTTGAAGATGACATGCACCTTATTAATAACAACCACAACAGGAAGTCCCTCTTGCATAGCATGCCTGATTGATCTTTCTGTATTAACCTACTCTCCAAAATGAAAACATGAGATCAGTATCATGCAAGAATAAATGGAAGGCCTCTAACTAATCATATCATACAATTTGTATATCCGCTGAACACTCACCAGGGTTTAGAGTTTGAGACTTCAACTGCATAATTAAGCAAAATCCTATAAGCACCAACACCAGAAGAAACATCTCCTAGATCACCTCGGAAAGCTATTCATGACCAAGACACAATAAAATACAGACAACAAATGCTACTCCAGCATTTCCCATTCTAATCCTATGCAAAAAGACCCAGCCATGACGCATAGGAGCCACAAAGCTCCGACCTTAACTGTATTGTGGCATTTAGAGATAGAGTTCAAAACACTAATACATAAACCAATATCTTATGTAGAGTTGTGATAATCATATTAAACTGCAACCGGGACTATTCATGAAGATTCAATTGAGTGAAAACGTTTTCATTTCATCAAGTATCTTGTTCACTTAACGTGGATGATCGCCCTCAGGTTCTTGGTAAACACAAAAAAGAGCCGCTTACCATAACACCTTCGACTGCATCAACAACAAGAACTGCGCCATCCGCGAGGCGAAGAGCAGCGGTCATTTCATCTGAGAAGTTCACGTGGCCCGGCGTGTCCATTATATTGGCCAAGTATGATTTTCCCGCACTGTCTTCCAACACAAGCGACATAGGAACGGTCTTGATTGATATTTGACGCTCTTGCTCATCGATCCTAGTGTCCGTGTACCGCAAGTGCTTTTCGCTAGTAGGGTCCAATGTGTTCACAGCGTGGGTTTGTTGGAACAACATGTCCATCATCAACGTTTTCCCGTGCTGCAAATGCCCTATCAATGCCACATTCCTGATCAACGTAGGGTTTGCCATCAATCCTATCAAAAATTCCGTCGATACATATGTCTGCACCTCCTTCGCTACCACCTCAAACTTCTTCAGGTTGATAGGTTTAATGATAGGTTCTTCGAGAGGTTGCGCGTCCTCGTCCATAACCAACGTCTCCACCCCCTCGCCGTACACTTCCATGGCAGTGGGATAATACTTCTTGTCTTCCGCCAGCACCACCGCCCCCTCGGTATCCATGGCATCGTCCCCACGGTCGTCAATCCCATTCTCCAAATAACCATCATCATGTCCATTCTCTAATCCTCTCTGCTCGTCTTCTTCCTCCTCCTGCTCAGAGTCCTCCTCGTCTGTGTCCAACTCCGGCCCAATGTAGTTTCCAAACTCATCATACAAGCTGTCATCCATGCTTCTCCTCCTCCAAACCCCTAAACCTCCCACAAATTAACACCGCTTTCACTACCTCCCCAATTCACACAACCTTCAAAACACTCAACAACATGCATCAAAAAATAACGTAAAAAAAAAAAAAACAAAACAAAAAACAAAACAAAACAAAAAAACCGAAAGTGCAGTCACGCAACGTCTTCAGATGATCAGACAGGCCCGGAAAAAACCAAAACCTCAAAAACCCGTAAATGGGTTTTCTCAGACGTGGCAAGCCAACACTCTCATTCAAAGAAGAGCGGGAGAACACAGACATCCTCAGTCCAGCACATATTCGACACTGCCGAACATCCTCTCACTCACAATTCTCTCCCTCTGTGCAAAGGTTTTACATCCATCCCTGAAGTGAACAGTTCTTTTGTCCATCAGGGATATATATATATTTTTACTGTTGCTCAGTCTGATTCTGCTTCTCCAAGCCCAGCTGCTCTTGTATAGCTCGTCGTCAGAATTGGGAATCAACTGCGCCTCCTGATTCTGTCCTCTTTTAAGCTTCTTGTTGCACGCAGATGAGCTTCTGGGTATCGAGGGGTTTTTATTTTCTGCAATAATGAAAACATGGAACCATCGCACGATTGGTTCATGAAATTTGTCCGGTTTCTGAGCAGGTCTGTGAGAATTGTTGCGGTTGCCAGGTAGAGCAGGTTTGGTGCCCAACATGAATGCTATACCGTAAACTTAAGAGGCTTGTTCCTGTAAAATCCAGCATTACAAGAAATAATCGCCAAGGAAAAAACTATCCATGAAGAATAAATACTTTCACCCATTCTGTTACAAGGTCATCAAGCTAGCATCTTTGCAAGGAAATGCAACATATCACACAGAAAAATAAAATTTTCCCGTTCAACATATTTTATCTCCATCAAAAAAAATTGAAAAATCCATTTTTCCAACCATGTAAAGAAAAACCCTTCAAAATTCTCCAGAAACTAAAAAAGTGAAGTTTTCAGGTGCATGGAGTCGGTTTCACGGTGGATTTAGATGAGAAATGACGAAAGAAACGAATGTCCTCATTCATTGCACAGCAACACAGAGGACAGAGAAAGAGAGAGAGTATTGGAGAGAGCAGAGGCGGAGGCGGGGGTTCGTCATTTTGCCTGTGAAGGGATTTGGGTGCGTGTGTGTCTGTCTGTGCGGCGGTGGACCCGAAGGCATGCCATTGCGGGTTAGGTTGAAAGCAAATCGATCTCTGCGTCGCTGTGTGAGGCGAGTGTGAGTGAGCCCGGACCATTGGAGCAGACGCGAGGTTTAGGTAAGAAACGAGGACGACGTAGTGGCAGGGATGGCGAGTATGGCGATGGTAGACGAGCCGCTCTACCCCATAGCCATTCTCATCGACGAGCTTAAGAGCGATGACATACAGCTGCGGTTGAACTCGATCCGGCGATTGTCTACCATCGCCAGAGCCTTGGGAGAGGATCGTACACGCAAGGAGCTTATCCCGTTTTTGTGCGAGAATAACGACGATGACGATGAGGTTTTGCTGGCCATGGCCGACGAGTTAGGGGGGTTCATCTCGTACATAGGCGGGGTAGAGTACGCGCACGTCCTGTTGCCACCGCTCGAAAATTTGTGCACCGTGGAGGAGACTGTGGTGCGTGACAAGGCCGTGGAGAGCCTGTGCAAGATTGGGGCGCAAATGAAGGAGCGCGATGTCGTGGAATGGTTCATTCCGCTGGTTAAGGTCTGCGTCGCTGTTCCCTCTACGTCTTCTGTTGCGCTGGGTTTGTGCGACCTTTTTATTTATTTATTTATTTATTTTTACCCGTGGTTGTACGATCTCGGAAGTTTTGGTTGGAACATTCTTTTCTTTGGGGAAAGATGGTTTACCAGATTTATAGTTTCTGATCTCTGTTTTAGGTTTCGTATTTTTTTGTGGGGATTAATCAAACTGAAATTCTACGAGAGTTACTCTGTTTCGAGTATGAGTCCTCGCTGAGGAGGATCAATGCAGCGTATGCGAATCGACTCATCAATCGGCATGTGTTGCTGCAACTAGCAAGTTTTTTGATCATTTCGACCCTATGATTATTGGCCTTGCTTTTGTTGACATGTTCTGTGGACGATAACAGAGACTCGGTGCTGGAGAATGGTTCACTGCAAGAGTTTCAGCCTGCGGTCTTTTCCACATTGCTTACCCTAGCGCCCCTGATCTTCTTCGAGCTGAGTTGCGCTCGGTTTACAATCAGCTCTGCCACGATGATATGCCCATGGTGCGACGATCCGCGGCGCTGAATTTGGGAAAATTTGCGTCTACAGTTGAAGCTATGTACCTGAAGACTGATATTATGACCTTCTTCAGGGATCTCACACAAGATGGTATGCATGCATTTCGAGAGGGTTTTATGTCTTTGTACAATCTTACCAGATTTCCTAGTGCTGAACGCCGAGTATGGTAGGTGGCTTAGAGCAAGGCATGGATCAGCTATGGAGTCAAAATTGCAGTTGGTGTATTGGTTCGACGAATTTCTATTAGATATGAACTGATCAGCGATTGATATAGCGAAATCTTACTTGCAGATCAAGACTCAGTGAGGCTTCTAGCAGTGGAGGGTTGCGCTGCATTAGGAAAACTGCTGGAGCCGGCTGATTGCGTGGCAAATGTTCTTCCCGTTATAGTGAGCTTCTCACAGGTAGGGGATTCGTAGACTATTTCTCCACACACCTACTCCTGTCCGGTCGTTCTCCTGAAATTATTCTCAAATGGCATACCCATTCTGTAATTGGACATATATAGTGCTAATCAATGACATCAAGAACAATGTGGTGAGACAAAATGGAGTTGCACATGAGTCGTACGACTGCGTTTGGTTCATCTGAAATTGTATTCCATAGCCATCTCTTGGCTGCTCTTGGCATCGCATTTTCTTAATTCTCAATTCTTCGTAGTATTGTTGTCTTCACATTTGAGAACTTTGAGTAGACATGACGTCCTACGATGTCAGCAGGGTTTTCCTAGAAAATAATACCTGAAGTGGGCAGGTGTTGGTGACTAACCTAGAGTGGGACACCTTAAATGAAGAATGTTACTCCGTTGCTAGTTTTTGAACAAATTGAAAATTTTCTTTCTGAGATGGTTCTCTGCAGTAATTCTTCTGAAGAAGTCGTAGCTTTCGTATGGTGTTCGCTTTATTGTGTTCTTTTCAATGCTGTAGTCCTCAGCTTCTTCTATTTGGGAAGATTCCAGAGTTCCTATCGGATTTATCACACTAAGTTCAAATGTAGAGTTATCTTATTTTAGTTTCTCGATTGCCTGTGGACTTCCAGGACAAGTCATGGCGTGTTCGTTACATGGTAGCTAACCAGTTGTACGAGCTATGTGAGGCGGTCGGGCCAGAGCCTACCAGGTGCTCATCTAGAACTTTCTTCTGCAGCTATTATATTAGTGCAGGATGAGATTTCTTATTTCTGGCTTTGTAGGCCATGCTGGGAGATGTTTGTCTGCTTGTCAGGTTAATGTTTCCTTCGTTTTTGTCTAGTAAGGACAGAGTTGGTCTCTCAAAGGTGGAAAAGCTTGCACTCAATTTTTGAGAAAGGGAATTCAATCATTTTTAGCACTTCACTAGAGGCTTGCTTACGATCGTGTCGATGTTTGTTGACGACTGAACCTTACATTCGGAAGTTCGTTGAGATTCGGTACCGATGCCTGTCATTTTTTCTCTATCTGTAGAACGGAGCTTGTACCTGCATACGTACGCCTACTGCGGGATAATGAAGCTGAGGTGCGTATTGCGGCGGCAGGAAAAGTCACTAAATTTTGCGGGATCGTCAGCCCCCAAGTTGCCCAGCAGCATATACTTCCCTGTGTGAAGGTATCTCTTCTAAGCTCAATTGAGGACGCTACTTTCTGATGCTATCTGCTAACAGATTGGATGTCTAGTGCTATTCAACCCTTTGTCGCTTTTTAACTCATACAATCAATGTGGAGATTTCAGGAGTTGTCAACTGATTCATCGCAACATGTACGAGCTGCACTTGCATCGGTTATTATGGGAATGGCTCCACTGTTAGGAAAGGTCAGAGAAGTTAACTCTTGGATTTTCCTGTTAGTACGACAACCTTGTATTTTATTAACCTTGCGAATCAACTTTGCCCTAGATGACACTTCGCTGGCAATGTTTGGCAGTGTGGTCTATTTTCTTTCGAACCAACAGTTGATACGGTGTGTTCTCTTTGTGGTGACGTCAAAGCTCTAGACTAAATGTCGTTTAATTTTCCATCAACTCATTCCTGGTGTCAATTTCACAGGAAGCCACCATTGAGCAACTTCTGCCCATTTTTCTAGCTCTCTTGAAGGACGAGTTTCCAGATGTACGACTTAATATCATCAGCAAGCTAGACCAAGTCAACCAAGTAAGTAGTTAATTCTGTCAACAAAGGATATTATGATACATGTCGAGATCCTTTCATTGTGATGGGTGTGTTGACTTCATGTCTCTCCGGTTTGTTCATGAATGTGGTTTGCTCTATTCTGGCGCCGACGGTCTTTGACAACGGGGAAGAATATCCGGGAATCTGAAGTTAGTACTTTTTGTTTGCAGGTGATAGGCATTGATTTATTGTCTCAGTCACTGTTACCAGCCATTGTCGAGTTGGCTGAGGACCGACATTGGCGCGTTCGTCTGGCCATAATTGAATACATACCTTTATTGGCCAGCCAATTAGGCGTTGACTTTTTTGATGACAAATTGGGAGCACTGTGCATGCAGTGGCTTGGAGACCAGGTTCAAACTTTACCATCTAGTAGTACATTTGTGGATTTGTTACGTGGGATCCATTCTTCCAAGTTGTAGGAAGAGTCTTTCCTTGGAAAAGATGGTGTTATATGGACACAGAGTGAGACGCCAGCTTATCATTTTAAATATCTACGTATTTGAGCCCATTTTAGTCCAATCTCATTAAAAGCTAAGCTGCACAGGTCTTTTCTATCCGAGAGGCAGCGGCCAACAATCTAAAACGGCTTGCAGAAGAGTTCGGTTCGGAGTGGGCATTACAACACATTATTCCGCAGGTACTTGTTCACTTGGGGTTTGATCTTGCATCGAATGGGACTTATGAGTTTCTTATTTACTTCTACTCACTCCAGTCTAGTTTTATCCTTGTGGACCTGAAAGTTTATAAACCTTGGATGGGAAGGGTGTATTCAAGTGAAGTTTGTATGTCACATGGAGCCAACGGTTTTTGATTACGTGGTGAGTGCTGCAGGTTATGGATAAGATTAATAATCCTCATTATCTTTACCGTATGACGGTACTAGTTGCAATTTCCCTTCTTGCTCCTGTAGTTGGCGCAGAAGCCACTTGCCAGACCATGTTGCCTGTGGTGATTAATGCTGCAAAAGACAGGTACACTTGTATGTTCTTTTTGTCGTTGAATTATTCAAATGTTACATGAACATGTATCATGTGTACATGTGGGGCATAGGGTAAATCTTGAGTGTTGAGCTTACTCTTTTATCTTTTGGGATGACAGGGTTCCAAACATCAAATTTAACGTCGCCAAAATGCTCCAATCTATGATTCCTATAGTTGAATCCACAGTAAGTCCACAACATTCTTCCTTCCTATTTGCTTGTGATAGTTGTTACTACCGCACCAATTCGATATAATGAAATGGTGATATTAATGACGTTAAGTGCTTCGGTTTTTCACTCATATCACAGCAATAATTGGTCCCTCTTTTTCCCGTTCTCCTCCTCCCTCCTTATTGGGTCTTGTCGAATCGTCAAATTAGCCTGATCTTGTCCTTGCGATATACTTGCAGGTTGTGGAGCAAACAATTCGGCCATGCTTGTTGGAACTTCAGGAAGACCCTGATGTGGATGTTCGGTTTTTCGCTGGGCAGGCCCTACAAGCCTGTGACCAAGTTATGTGTGCTTAACACGATTTATATACCTATGACTTCATTCGCTCGATGGCTGCAGTGTTGTTTCCTGCAACCTCGGGGTAGTGTTAACGTGATGCTCTTGTTAGTCCCTTTGTTTTCCTGCACCGGTTTTCAAGTGAATCGTACCAGATGTGAAGTGCAAATTTGGCTTCTCAAGGGACCCATACCAGTTGATGAACGAAATTATCGTAAAACTAGGCAACCAGCAGGGGTCTCCCTCAGGCCTTCATCTACTGTGGGCACATTAGTGAATGTGCTTTTATCAAGTCTGATCCACACTTGTTTTTACTGTTGTACGCGCATCTACAGGAGGGAGCTAGTGAAATGAAGCCTGACCTCTCAAGTTGAGACTTGTTTGAGGATGATGATTTTGTGGTCAGTCTCGGAATAGCTGTATCTGTTAGGTGATTTGCCAATCTCTGATTGGGTTGCCCAATTAGCATTGACCTGGCTGAATCAATCAGTATATAAACATTTTTCTCAGTGTGTACCCTTGTACTTCTTTGTCTGTTTGAGAAGCCACTTCAGTGCTGGTTACGAGACGGAGTGAATACTGCAATTGAATTGGCAACACTTAAGAAAGCTCTTATTACCCCTTGCGTGCATTTGAAACTACAAGCAGTGTATTGGTCAATAGATCGCGAGATATGTGTTACAGTTCTGGAGGCTTGCATGCGAATTCTTACACGGTCACGGATCCATTCTCAAGAGGTGCTTCGAGTTGGGCTGGGTGGAAACTGCAGGCAGAGGGAACCAAATCAGATGCTTTACAATGGCTTATCAGAATTGCATAGCTTTGGTAAGAGATGATCCAAGAGGTTTGAAGACCTGCTTGAGAATTGCGGTTCACATGTTGAAAACCATGGAAAAGGAAACTTCTTTGCGGGTCATCTTAGGAAAAGGATATGGAAGAGAAAATTGTCAAGTACAGATACTTGACATTGTACTATGTCAACTTCAAATCTTGACTTTGAAGTAATGGAGACAGTTAAGTACAAGACTAAATGAACAAAAATAAAGATGAAAAAATGATTTAGAGGCAATGATAAATAGGTATGGAAAAAGGGATGAAGAAAGCAATGTTGGAAAATCCATAAGGACAAATAGATGAAAAGATCCAAATTGCATTGACACCCCTTAATGAGCATATGATATCTTGCATAAAATCCAAGTGTTTTGCAGTTTATGGAATAGATCTACAATAAGAATTTTTGTATCAATTAATCTTTTTAGAATAATTGTTCTTGTATTCACAATCCAACTTCTTTTTTATCCCATAACTTATTACTTTCTACAATAAGCAACAACTTAAGCGATTTTTCTGTTTATTTTGTTTTTGTTTTGATTTTAAATTTCTTTACAAGATTTTTTCAACTTTTTTTAATTGAGTTTCATTTATCTTTTTTTTTTTTTTTTTTTTTTTTTTCCTTCTTAAGAGAATCCAAAATTTGTAAAATTGATAGAAAAATTCATATTAAATTGGATAATCTTGTAAGTTGTTATGATACTCTTATGTTAGGTTGTTAATAAGATGATCCACAAAATATTGTGGTTTGTATTCTAAACTTGCAAATGCAAAATTCTAATAAACTTCAATACTGTTATTGGTTAGTATTCGATTAAAAATGCTTCATGCAAAAGTTGTTTGTCAAGTTAGATTGCACGACATACATTCCATTCATCGTAGTGACGTTGCTGTTGCGTAAATGCATGTTCGGTGAGGTTCTCCGCATGGGCTTGAACCTAAGCTTGGAGGCGCTTGGCCGATGTTATTGCTGATCTTGGCACTCATCTTCCCATCTCAAACCAGGAATTTGATCGTCTTTTGATAGGTTTTTTCAGGATTTCAGATACATCTCTGCAGTAAATTCAACCGGAGAAAGTACCAAACGTGTCTGCTAGATTATCCTTTTGATAAATCGGGTGAGTTTAGAATTCCTTAGAATCCGCATCGGACAATCTTCAAGCTTACAACCGACGATGTTAAGTCCTGCTCTTCTGTTGTTGATGATCTGTACCTACGGAGTAGTCTGATTGTACCCTTACAACTGTTACTCGCTGAACCTCATGAAGTACTGATGAGATGGCTCTGATGTGGCGGCAGGTTCAAAGGCGGCGAATCAACCCCCTTGAAACCCTCTTGATGAAACTGTTTCCATGAACTTCCTAATTAGAGTGCAAAACGACCTGAAATCGCTTGATAGAATGGGATTGTCTTGAAGGATGATACGTGGGTTACATGCCAGTGATGGTAAGGGTAGTTATGTGGTGCATCCAAATTAGCGTTAAGGCGAACCCAAGTTCTGCCAACTTCCGAAGCTTGCACTGAATTCAGACACGAATCGCATCTCCCTTTGTAGAAAGCGTAAGAAATCGTTGATTTGCATTCGAGCAATTTTGTTTAGGTAACCACGGATTCGAACTTAACCGTAGAGTTTTTGAATCGGGTGCAGGCAACAGAGCTCTCATCTTCCACAATTAGAAACTCTTGTCGCTACATGAAGCAGACCGTGTAAGTTAAAGAGACTGCGAATGTCTATCTAGCGCTCAGATATACAACACTGATAAAAACAAATCACGTTCTTATTAAGTATGCTTTTAGGAATGGTCTATCGTCAAGGTACCAACACGAGTTGCAGATAGAATCAGGATATTAGAAGACGGTGGCATCGTAACAGCGAGCCTTGAACAAGACTCCGACAATAGATTAAAAACTCATTTACAGTCCATCCGAAGATTGATCCCATCACAGGTACGCCATCAACACACACCGAATCCACTTCACTCTACTTTTGCTACAGATTTTTTTTTTAATTGTTTATTCCAAATCTGTGAAGCTCAACGAGGTTCATCGAAGCGTTGAACAATTTATCGCAAATGAGAGGATATTTTTATTCTATGATTTATTATTTATTTATTTTGGGAAAATCAAACATATTAGTTGTAAAAGAATTGCTATGTAATTATATATAAAAATACTATCTATCCAAACCATTTCAAAGGCATTGAAACACTGTGCTTTCAACACTATGTGCTACGAACCAAAGGAGTCTTGAGACTTTAAAGGAATTGAACCGTCGTTTCCACAGAGCACCCCATACTTGTCTTTTCGTGTATAATTTGTGCATTCAAAGCCCAACGTTTGCGACAAAAGTTGTTGGATGTGGTTCGCAACTTCATACGAAGATTTCCCACCGGCACATGTAAGCTCAACCGGTAATTCGTTGAGGAACGTAACCTACAAATCCCACCATTCCAACGATGTTGCCAAACACAGACTGTGCCAACTGTCTAGTTTGCATTTAAGACAAACACACACACAAACAAGTCTTTGTTATGAGTAATAATGAACTAGTATGGTCTAATTTTCAGAAACATGATATATAGAAGGCTACCTCATAGATAGGGTTGGGATTCATGAAGAAGTAGAAAGGGTCCAAGCATTTCCACCCCTGCGCGGTGGTGCCGTGGAACATGCTCATGCGCGTGTTCATCGCCACAGGTACCAACTGGTTCGACAGCTCCGCGAACAGCGCGCTGAATCGCAGCAGATACGGCTCCCGACAGGTGGTGCCCTCGGGGCAGATCGCAAGGTCTCCTTCTCGCAGCAGAGACCTGATCTTCGCCGCGTCTTTCTCCCGATTCCTCTTCAGTGCCACTGTTTTGATTGGGGACAACACCTCCGACAGCCGGCTTATGCTGTACGTGACGGCCGTCACGCGCCGCTTCAACGCCACGCCCACCATCACGGGGTCTAGTAGCGTCCTATGCGAGCACACGTACAGGTAGCCTCCTCGTCCGGGGCCGTCTTTGGGCTCTGGGGGTGGGGTCCCACGAACCACCACCCCAACCCCAAGAAACTTGTATACCAATTTCAACAAGTGGAAGGGAAGAAGGATGCCAGCCAGGATCCGAAGCACGGCCAACACAGCGCCAATCGGGTACCACAGCAGTATGATGAGCGCTATGCCTGCTGTGGGCCTTTGGATCAGGCGGCCGTCGTGAAACACCAGCAGGTTCATTAGACTTTCTTTCGACGCTGCCAGTATTGTGTTGCTCGGCGGAACGATGTATCCTTCCTACGCATTCCAATCATAGAGTGTAGTTTTATTATTTTACTTGTTTATTGTTGTTAATTCATGGGTTTTAGAGACTTTGGATGAGAGTGGTCACGGAGGCGATAGTGGTGGATGTGGGCTTTGGAACGCACTTTGCAAATGGACATGAAGTTGTGGTCGGACGGACGGTCTCCGAGACCCACGTCAGGAAGGTTCAAGCCTTGGAATTCTTGCCTCAGCACAATTTCTTTGTTTCTCCCGGTTAGAACCCCTGGGTTCATCAACAAACCAGTCGCGATGCCGCCAGAAGTGAAATGCAGCTCCGTCCCCAACACACCGTCCACTCCCAGATACGTCTTGGCGAAGGTCTCCGCCATGATCCGCGGCGTCGCCGTAAGTATGTACCGCTCCCCAAACGAAGAAAAGATTCGCCATGTGTCCGGATGCACGTCTTCCGCGTAAAACTTTGGCAACGTTCCGCGTGCGATGGCTTCGATACCGCCGATTTTTAGGCCCGCGAAGGTGACAAAGATCAGGAGGCGAATGCCGATGGATTCTGAGACGCAATGGTACAGAAGCCAACACAGCGGAGAGCACAAGAGGAGCACAAAGGCCCGGGCCACTCCTCCAGCTTCGAATGCCACCAGCATGAAGTAGGGGAACGAGCTTCGGCTGCGAAGAAGAGTTCCGTCGAGATCCGAGACAACCGTCTGCTTGCTTCTGCCTTTGTCACTGCACTTGTCGATGGTATCGAAGGGATCTCTCTTCATGAGTCCTTCAACTGGTTGAAACTTCAGATCAGTGTTCTCTCAACAGAAAGCGTGGATGGAAGTGTATAGATTAGGGCAGACAGCGGAGCTTCTTCACGATGTACGTATATGTGAATGGAATGGTTGTTTACCTGATTTTTTGCCGACTTTCTCCATATTCACATCTAGAATGAATTCTCATTCTATTCGGAACCCTGACATTGAGAGATTCAGAAACTTGTCGGAAGTTTTGTGACGATGGTGGTATGAAACTCACGACAAGGCTGTCGAGCTGAGTTGTCTCAAGCTCCCTGACAAATCATCTTCCACAACGTTTCTCTCAAATCAGGTCATTGTGTTGTATAGGTAATGATTTTGTATACTTTTTAAGGACGTTTTAAAATGAAATGATTCTGAGAATGTAGTAGTTAACTGTGCGTAATAATAAACTGGAAACCATTTGAATGTGGGATTTTTCAGAAGTTGATCCAAGAAGGTTTAAATGGTACACCTGTAAGGCAGATATGTCTCACTATCGTAAATTAGAGACATTTTGTTTTTCTTTCTTTCCCTGAAAAGCTTTCATCATAGGAACATCTTTAGAAGCTCTTGTATAACAATCACAACATGAACCCTAATGGAGAGATGTTTTGGTAATTTTCAAAAAATGGGGTCATAAATTCCAGTAACCAACCAAAACCCTTGATTTAGAATTGAAAAGCGCACACGAACACCACCCACATATCCATCTGTACACTTGATAATACAAAACTTCCAATCTTTTCTAATTCCTTTTTATTAACTTATTTTCGAAACCATGGAGTGCGAAATGCATTTAGAAGTTTCAGACTACATAGAAGACATGTCGAAAAGTTAGAGGAGACCTGCAGCCTGGTGAACGAGGAGCAGGCAGAGAGGTAAATAGCTGCAAGGGAAGTGAAAGAGCGTCAAGGAGAAAGCTTGTTATGAATCACAGAAGCTAAGCAAATATGCCACAGCGTCTGGCTGGGTCTCGCTCGCTGGCTCTGAATGGCTTGCTCTCTCTCTTGCTCGATCGTTAAGGAGGGGTACCTCAGAAGCGTTGAAATGGGAGAGGGCTCTTTCACACCGAAGTGCACCCTTTGGACTACATTCCACTGGTTGCACGCCGCTTCGACAATAAACAGCGCACCTCTTGGTGGGGCCAGGCACAAAATTCGGTCCTACAGTAAATCAGGCAGCGGGAGGAAACGTGCGGTAATGGAGGAGGAAACGAGAACGTTTGAATGAATGAGGGACTGCTGGAGAGAAGTCAAGGGGGAGTCGGTACTGCTTCGAGGGCAAGGCTCATCAAACAATTCAAATCCTCCTCGTGTGCTCCGCCGTTGCTGCGTTTTTTTTTGACACAAAAACAGGTTTTACCCAATGCATTGATAGAGTGAACACATGGTATAAAACAACAAGCTTTAACTCCTAACATCCATAAATAATGAGTTAATAGAACTATGTGAAATAACTGTTATTGTTCTCTACTTGTTTATATTTTTGTGTATTTTGAAGTTTTATTTAATTATCTTTAGCATTCTAATGCCAATTGAGTGTATTGCTATCCATGATTTGTCTCATTTCTTAAGAAGAATAGTCTCATGTTTAAGATGTTTTAATTTTATTTTAATGGCTTTTCAACTAATTTGTTTATATTTTTTTATACTTCTTTAGATGATACAAGAAATTATTCTATACCTCTTTTTAAAAGATAATTTTTTTGTTGAATCTATACTGTCCACAAGCAATTTTTTTTTATAACAATGACTAGATCTTATGAAGGCATTTAAACCAAAGAATAATATTTTTGGCAAAAAGAACTTGCTCCTATATGAATGCTTTTCTAAAGACATTGTTTCCAAGGATTAGATGTTAATTTATATATGAATAAGGTGTTGCAATTGAAAATGTTTTAAGTGCTTTAAGAAACTTCTAAAATTTGTATATAATATTCTCATGCTTTTGGAAGGAGTAAAAGATATAGTGAATATCCACATGTAGACTAATTTAGACCTTCATGTATTTATTAAGATATTATAATATACATATATAATTTTTAAATTGAATTCAATAAATTTATCAAATTTTACAACAAATTCAATAAGTTTAATCAATGCTTAAAGATCTAATAAGTTTAACATCAATTTATTTATTTCATATTATAATTTATAAAAATTAGTTGATAAGTATAGCATTATTTTACTTAGTATCACTTATAAGTTTTCAAAATTTTAAATCATATATAGATATTGAATAATTTTATTAGATAAAGATCCAAATCTTATTGGTTGCAATATAAACTGTATCATATTTTTTATATATAGATTAAAATATTGCTAAGAAAGCCTCAAGTTGTTTAAGAAATGATAAAACCATAATAAGAAAAAACTTAAAAGTGATATTTTAATAAACTTAACATGTAATCTTGAAATTGAATAGCTTTGAGGTTGAAGTTCAATCACCAATTATACTTGGTTGATAAATCCTCAAAAATTTGAAATTATATCATCGAATTTCTTAAGTAAGGTAATTGTTCGTTCTTTAAAAGTAATAGTAATGCTTGTAGGATGCTCTACAATAGGAAAAAATGATGGTATGTGTATAGATATTAAAGTAGCACCAACCATCTTTGTATCTTTATTTCTAACTAATCTTCATATTGCTTGTGGTAATAAAGAAAGTTTATGCATTACAAGTATTAATTTTTTAATTTGTTCTTTCATTGATGCCATTGTACTTGTTATTTTTACAAATTTGGCCATAATCACATAATAAATAAATAAAAAATAATATTACTTATATCAACAAATAAAAAATAATTAAAAAGAAGATATTTTTTTAATAAAATTAGTATAAAAGTAGGTAATCTACAACCACTAATATAATTAAATATTATAAACAAAAAATAATTTATTTTAAATTAAGAAAGATAAATCTCTATTATTATAAATATATTCTTATTAAATTTTTAAGAATAAGAACTTAACAAATATAAAGAAACAAGCAAGATTTAAATCAAAGGAAGATGAAAAATCAAAAAGAAAAAATATGCATATTCAAGAAAAAATTAGAATAGCTATTATCAAAGACAAAAAAATTAGAAACTCTTGAAACTAAATTAGAATAAAAAAAGGCATTGAAAAGAATAAAAAAGACATTATTATGGCCTCTATATATACTATCTAACTAAAGAGGTACATAGGAATGCTTTGTAGACTATGTGACAAATATTAAACTCATACAATATATTTTCAACATGTTGTCATGGACATACATATTTATTCTAATATTTTTCTATGTGATTAAGTAGAAGTAGGTAAAAATAGATTTATTTCATAATATTTTCTAGAAAAGCTTTCTAAAAGCTTCATAGATGTTGCTTTGACTTTATATGTATTTGTAATTGATTATTAGGCTAGAAACTAGGTCAACAAATTAACCACATGTTGGTAACTTACGGAAAAAGTTAGTTATGTGGAATACATATAAAAATCTTACCTTACAAGTTAAGATATGTGTCTTACAAAGTCAACATGTTTTGGAGGTCCTATAAGACATCACCACATTGTTGTGATACAGAGAGTTTGCCTTAAGAAAGTGCTGAGCTTCTGGCTATTATTAAATGCTCAACTAAGCCTCTAGATAAAAGAAAAATCAATTTTATATATGAAATTTTTCCTATAGGGAAAATTACATCAATACATAAGCCTTAACTACCAAAGATCACCAAAAATGTGATAAAAATATTATAAAAACTTATATAACTTTAAGGTGATTTTTTTCCAAACTTCAACAACTCATATCTCCAAATTGGACCATCTAAACAAATCCGAATTTTATATAAAATAATGATATACTTTTAAAAACTACCTCAACAAATTTCAATTATAAATTCATTAAAAATCTTGAGATATTGCCAAAATCCTAACAATAACTTCAAACCCTTACTTATATATATCTATGTGCAAATTTCTTTGTATCTCACAAATCAAGTACCCAAATACTATAAAATTTTGATATATAGCTTTTTAACTTAATAACACACACTTTGAAAAATTTTGAGCCAAAAATTCATCTTGAAACTCAAGATATGGCTCCAACCATTACTATCAATAAAATAATTCACTTACTGCCTTTGAATTACATATGCTATCTTTGACTCTCTATAACTTCTTCATATAAACTCCAAATACAAAAATTCCTTCACAAAAGATGTAGATCTTAGAATCAAATTTGTGGCTGCATCTTCTAATCTCCAAAGTATATCAAAAACATCCTTGTATTCTCAAAAAAGCAATAGTATGTCTTAAACAACACCTTAACTTCAAATGGCTATAACTTCATCACCCTAATTCGAAATCTTCTAAAATTTGTACAAAAATTGTAGTCCAAATCCTAAACCTAATAAATCTTTCTTTTGATTCTCAAATGCCCCTGTTGAAGTTGCCAAAATCCTTGTTATGGACATAGACAGCCTGTTGAATATCCATTGGGTATGGCTTTCAACCAATAGAGATAAAGATCTTTACCTTTTGCCTTCATTCGACCATGCCTTGATTTCATCCCTCTCCATAAGCCTCTTAGTAGTTTAGATTTTCATTCTTAGGCTTCTACCTTCTCTTAAAGTTTTATACTAAACATCAAAATCTTATATAGTTTAAATATTATAATAAAAGTAGATAAAATTCAAAATAAAGTTTTTTATATCCATTCTTTTAAAATTAATTTATCAACCATTCTAATACACATTAAGAATTATGAACATAAAATATGTTTTAACTAATTTTTACATACTTTAAGCATTTATAATATGACAATGTAGTTCCTAAGTAAGTGTATATATGGAGGTAAGAGTAAAGTCTTTTGCATTCTTATCAATGCCTTTCTAATTCTTAGTCTTGTTTCAAGACTTTTTAATCTTCTTATTTTTGGCAATAGCCATTCTAGTTCAATATTATATCATATTTAAATGATTTTTTAGTTCTTTTGAATGACACAAGAGTATATTGAAGATTTCTTACTTTAAGATTCATATCCTTAACAATTTGATAAGATTGCTTACTTATTATTTCTTTCTTATTTTAAAAGTGAGTGGATTATTTTACTTCTATTATCTTCAAAATACTTTGAAGATTGTGAATTATCCACCTTAAAACAAACAATCTTTTTTTCTAACACTAATTTTTTTCTTAAAGAAAGTGGATTATTCTTCTTTGTGGAAATTTTCATTTGATATTAGAGGTTGCAAATCATCCTCCTTTAATTTAACTTTTTGAATTTTTTGGACTTATTTATGGAAGAAAAAACCATGGATGTTATTATTAGTAGAAGTGAAAATAGATTTGTAACTATTGCAAATCTTTATGAGCTTGTCAATACTCTAAGAATAAAAATCTCCCATATTTCCAACGTGAATTATGGAGGTACTATTCCTTTGCCTATAGAAAAAGTTCAAAGTTTGCGTCAAGAAGTTGTATAGCTAAAGGAAACAAATAGATTGACCTCACAACCAAATCTAGGGAATTTTGCTTCTACAAGTATGATAAAAATAAGGATTAGTATGCTTGAGAAGTTTGATGGAGCAAGATTAAAATTTCAATGATTTTTGCAACAAGTCAAGCTCTATCTAAAGTTGCATCCTTTCCAATATCCTAATGGATTTATTCAAGTTGGATTCATAGGCACACTTCTATCACAAAGTGCTTTGTCTTGGTTTGCAACTTTAATAAAAAAGGATTTACAACTTCTTTATGATTTGAATTCATTCATAGAAATGTTTATAGCCACATTTGAAGAAAGTAATAGAGAAAGAGTAGTACATGCTAAGCTCTTATCTTTACAGTAAAGATCATGATTATCTACTATATATATTGCTAAATTTCAAAATCTTGCTTATGATGTAGATTAGAATGACAAAATCCTTATCAATCAATTTCAATATGGGTTGAAAGATAATATTAAAGATTTATTATCGATAATGCCAAAGATAGAATCTTTGAAGAAATTTATTCTTTAAGCCATTGCATGTAATGATCGATTGTTTGAAAGATATTAAGAA